TGGCTTAACAAGCCTGAGCATTTTATGAGCTCTTCGCACATATGCACAAGTTAACACACTAATTTAAGCCTAATAAATCGGATAAAATTTTCACGCGGATTTTCAGACAAGTTATTTAAAAAATTTAATGTCTAAAGAAATACCGGCATTCCGAAAATGTTCGGCGCGATTACGGTTGGTTTGTATTGATAAGATTTTTAGGGATTAGTGCTTAATCGAGAAAAACGAAAAATCGATACGATCGTCAGCGCAGTGTTTTTCCTTAATTATCTGATTGGTATCTGTGTATTACGAAACAATATTGCTGCAGTGGGGAGATTTATTCCCACGAATGTAAATGGAACGAAGTATCAAGCGATAGAAATTTCTATAGCTCAGCTGAGCTTTGTTGATTTCTATCGAACGATTTATAAATCGTCGACGCACACTGCAGTCTGCAATTGTTTAACAATAAATGCATACAGAGTATGAATTGTGTTAAGTGGTCACGTAATTGTGTTATCAACGTGTATTTTCTCTAACACGAATTTGACCCGTTGACAGTTGACGGGAAAAACTCATTAGGCGCTAAAGAAAAGCCGCGGTGCTATCTATTTAAAAGGGAATAACTAGGAAAAGAAAAGAAATGAGCCGCGGGGCAAAACTGGGACACTGGAGCACTGTTCTGGCAAATGCACAAACAAATCGGAAACACGATGCAGGGAGAAACGGTTTCATAATCTGGAGAAGGATTGTCGGCCATAAAAATCCAGTTTTATGACCGCAATTGTGGGCGGTTTATTAATTAATATCTCTTTTTTCCTGATTGTCATTTGCCAGACAATTTTTCTAAATTAGTTTTGAGCGATTTTGTAAATAAGTTGTTTTATAAAATGTTAATTTTTAGTGCTGAATTATTTTTCGCCAGTAAAAATTTTAATTAAGCAGTTTTTCGGTAATATAATTTAACAATTTACAACGATGTCTTGCACGATTTTTGACCGGTCTGGTTTACAAAACAAATATTTTTTAATTGCAGTCATTGAAAACTGGAAAAGGTGTGGCGCCATGCCGCCGTATTCCCAAGCTACTTATGATTAAAACTGTTATTTATGTACAATGTGTCAGTATGTTAGTGTGCTACTTGGGGTCAACTCTGCATTAGTGGTCAATTTTTATACAAATATAACGATAAATAAACACTCGGCATCCCCATCCAGCGGTAGCCGTACAGTGGATATGGAGAGGCTGAGAATAAATTCGTCTGGATTGTTCTGAGTGCACGGGCGTATTCGGTTAACTTCCTGATCGATTACAAAGCGTATCCCGCGGGGACAAGAAAAGAGCTCCCAAACACTGCGCTATAGCTAGTGCACACACAGAGAGCCTCGGCGCTGCAGTAGCCCTTTCTCCCCGCAAATCTCGTCAATATAGACGTTTATTCCTCGGCTATTTGGCCGAGGTCAGCGGAATTTGTGGGATGATTCAGTTGACTATATTTACAATCCGGATTTGTTGCATCAGCGTATTTACGGTGAATGGGCGATGGGTGATTCCTTGTCAGGGGAAATTATTGGATTTTTACCTAATTAATTGCCGGGATTGCACGTGCCGGTATAGATAGAATGCACATCCGGAAAATTCGATAATTGGGGATGATGGCACGATGGGGACAATGGGCGATGAATAATTCACCGGCTAATAGACACGGCAATGTCCCCTACCTGACAGTCTAATGTATACTTCTACGCAGTGTGCAATACAAGTTGGAATAATTTCAATGCATTTGGTGTTTTTAAATTATTTCAAAACGTTTTCAGGCGTTTTTTTTTCGTTACGATTAAAGCCACAATTTTTTTCCGCCTTCGCAGATTAATGGTCAAATTATTTATTCCGGGATAGAGTTTTTAATTTGCGTAGGATGACCGCTTTTTATGGAAATAATACGGAATCATAAAAAATCTTGTCACTATCTCCACGTCCGGCTGCAAGGCATTAATCAATGTTTTCTCACTATGGGTTCAATAAAAAAGCAATTTTCTCAGGGGTTTAAATCTTCCCTTACATTTGCGCGGGCTGTAAGTGAAACTTGACATGCTTCGCTAATCGTTTGTTCGATGAATCAAATTTTAAATATATACAGTACGAGCACGTTGTCGGCGGTGTAAGCCTTGTGTGTGTGTGCATCTGCCGGTGATTGGCGAAAAGGTGGAAAACGGATACCCCTGCTGTGCATCAATCACCATTTGTTCCGCCACACTGGGCTTCTGTTCGGCAACTGCACGTTACAGAATATATATCACGCAAAAAGCTGTAAATTTTTTACAAAATTGTGAGTGCCTACTCCAGATGTGTCAGCGCGCGGTGCGGCATATGTAGTGTAAAGCCATTTCGGAAATGAGTTTTCTCCCGGTGACTAATAACCATTCATCCTGGCGAGGTCATCGTGCGCCCTGTGAGCGCATGTGCAGTGTGCAACTGGAGCCTTTTTTCTATTTCTTTAAAGTGAGCACGTTTCCTTCTAGACAAACCTGTGGAGTGCAATCTCAGGCCTGACAGGGTCGTATAACAGAAACACTTCAAAGCCTATCTTGCCACGGTAGATTTAAAATGTCACTAATCGACGGTGCCATGTACACCGTTAACAGTTTCGTCAATTTCAAATGAGAGCATATGTACTGACGCGTGTACTTGCATAGTTACATAAGGCGTGAACGTTACCTAAAAATTTTACCGGCCCGTAAAACCAAAAAATACGTATATGTATTTTTTGCACATTAGAATAAAGAAACATTGTATACATAATAATACCAATATCGAAGCGTTCTGGTTTTCGCAGTGATTAAGAATTATAAAAAAAATGCTGATATGTCCGATATAATATTTATATTATTATATTCATTCATGTTTTCTTGGTTTTAAATTGTATGTGGAGTTGTGGATTATGATATTATTAATTTTTCATTTTTGGATTAGAAATTTGTGAACGATTAGAAATCAGATGTCGTGCGAGCGAAGAATTTACCTTTCGATTACTGCGAATAATATGCTAGCCCGTATCCAGCCGCGCAAACTGTTTTCAGTGGCAGTATCACATTTCCCATTTCGGAATTACACATTCTAAACCTATTTTGACCATTTCCTTTCTAAGCGAACATAAGCCGCTTTGTCCGTAGCCTGAGAATATTAGGAATTTGAAGGTATTAAGAGGCCCTTAACATGGCCAGGATAAGAGGTGTGCAGTTGTGTACGCGTGCTGAACGGAGGCCGGTGTAGGTGGCCATGGGTCATAACCCACTTTTTGCACCCGCGATTACCATCCCTTACATTGCACTTTCCCGTTGCATCCCGCAATCGATGCCCGATTACTCCATGCACGCCGGCAGCATGATCAGCCACACTGCCGAATGAATGCCGGCATTTTGTCGCTGCACACGTCCAGTGCGCCGGCATATATGTATGCGGTTCTATGCGTGTTGTGATGATCGGTGTTCTAATGTATTATGCCCATATCGGCTAGTGTATCTCTGTTTGAACTGATCCCAATCTTTTGTCCCATGATGGATGCTGCAGTGGACGCGGGAATCGCCGCGTGTCCAGCTCGCAAATTGTGAAACCAGAGCAGCGTAATAACTGAACTAATCGCTCGCGTATAATGCAACTAATAGTTGGTATTAAGACCGGCCAAAGATCAAATGAAGCTGCATTTAGCCAAGGCTAATCCGCTCCCGTATACGAATGCCGCCCGGCGTAGCTCATTTTCTAATGTTATATCCAGTTTCTTCCGAATGATGAATTTATTACAAAACTGAATAGGTTTATCGGGAGCGGTGATGGACTTGAAAATTAGATCATATTTCATAACAAACGGATAAAATGAAAAGGTGTATGCACTGACGTATGCACGCTTGAGTATTGTATTTCACAATATAATTATTTTATTTTCGATATTTCGACATTAATGTTCTGTTCATTATTTTAGTCTATAAAAAGCGTGAGCGCATTAGCTGTCGGTGAAATTACTAATTACCGTGGAAACATTATCCTGTGAGTAATTTCGGTGTTGTGACATGGCAGCGGCACTCAATACTGGACATCACTAACCTGAAAACAGTTAATTAAATATTCATGACTTTTCATGTAGCGAACACATCGCTGCGCCTGAGCGTGTCATGCGTAGTCGGAAGTGTTAAGTTTTCCGCACCAGTGGTCAAAAACATTTAAGTGGCCACTAGCCGGGCGCAATAGATAGAAAATCCAAACCTCCACTCTTCCCGGCACTCTATAGCATTTGCATCTTGCGAGTAGTACTGTAATTCCGGCCGCGCGCACGGCATGTGAAATTAATCAGAACACACTTCGGCCGGCCATCCCAAACGGGGAAGAGACGGGCAGCACTCCAACACAAAAGCTTATCCTAATTGACAGTACAGTCAGGACCGACCGGACCGCACTGGCCGATCGCGACGCGCGGGAGACCCCCTCCCGGTGGCTGTCATGCAACTTCTAGCCGCAACTGATGGAGAGCCACGTGTCAGCATAATCAAGTTGCCGGCTTCCACTGAATTTATTCTAATGATGATTCCGTGTTTTCTCCATACTTGACAGGGAAATGGCGGGTTTTTATGGGGCCCTGTTTATTGGGGGGCTGTTACATTTAGATTGTCGCAGTTCCATCATCATCAATGGGGTCAATTAAAGGGAATCAGGAGGGATAAATTGATTTTATGTCGCGTTCTGGCCTACTTTTCCTGCGGTTACCGGTGCCGCACAAACACTAGTCATCGGCAAATAGTTCCGGACTTAAATATGCCATATTAATTCCCATAAATGTATGGCGGATTTTCCATATCCGCTGATATAATTAGATTGCGGTCGAAGTATAGGTAAAGGATTAACGTAGGCTTTGATTTGTTGTACGTACATGCTTTACCGTAGGCGCACACATGAAACCTGAAAGTTTTGTTGAAACGTATTAACAGCAAGGGACAGTCAGTAATGGTTGTTTTTCTCTTCCGTAGTTTCTGCCGCCGAAAATTCCCGTGCGCCCCCTACCGGTGCCCTGGAATTACAGCCAAATGTAAAAACGCGTTATGAAGAAGAAGGAAAAAGTTTTACACAGTATTGCCGGATAAACAAAGATTACACGCCCGCTGGACCGATACGATGGCTGAAAAATACTGTAACAGAAATCAAGAGCGATAGAAGGTAAGCTACATGTGTATTATGTACTGTATATCTATAAAAAAATTTATGGTAATTTTGTTAAAGCGCTTGGTAATTGGTATACGGCAGTTTATCAGCTTATCATTTTGATATGAAATTTTCCTATGAAGGCATTCATTGTTTTTGTGTGAAATTATTTTGTTTGGCTGAGATCAAATGACAGCATTCGTCCAGCTGTAAATACAGTACATCAATTTCAGAATATATTCGGGTAGCAGTTAAATTTGTTATGATTCGTATTGATTCCGCAATTTGTTCTCCACCACCACTGTGTAGCGGTATCGATTGGAGTCTGGTAAATAATAAAGGCGTTTTGTCAGTCCATTATGGTGTATTAACTGGACTAGGATGGACACCAATGTGTTTGTCCCGGTGCCACGCAATACAGATTCATCAAATTGCGTCTGTATCCCAATGCAATAGCCGGGCTTGACCGGTGCTGTGTGGCTGAGGCAATCGATATAGGCCACTCATCCCTGTCTTGGGATGGTCAGTGCGCTCGTGTTTATTCATTTCCTTGGGAGTTCTTTAATTATCCCATCTGATAAATGAATTTGTCGGCATAATAGGCAATTTCATTATCCGCTGCCGGTTCCCACTGACCGCGCCCACTGCGTCCATTCACGGGACGCTCTAACTGCATTACTGTGGTCATCTGGGGCACATTCGGAGTGAATGCGAGTGTTGACGGTGTTTTTCAATTTTGCAGCATCAAGGTCCAGAATAAATCAGCTTCCCTATCCACATTGTGGTTCGGCAAGATCAAGCGGACGGATGAAGGCGTCTACACGTGCGTGGCCAAGATTCAGGGCTACGATGAGGAAGCGAAAATTGAGTTCAAGTTGAACGTGTTCGGTGAGAGTGTCTGCTAAAGTTTTGGAAAGTCTGGATGGCAGTGTGCGTGTTGTTCTTTATTGCAGCGGGAATTGATTTCGCCAACGTCGCCCGCAACCAGACCGCTGATCTGGGCAGTGACTACACGCTCAAGTGCGACGTGCAGGGCGACCCGAAGCCACGTGTCAGCTGGGATCGTGACGGGAAGACGATTGACTCGTCCAGCGCAAGTACGATTTGTTTTATTTATATACGTAGATGAATGTGTAAGTTTTTTTTATGTACGTTTTTTTATATGACAACCGTGTAGCGCTAGGTGAAAATGTTTACCGGTGTGGATTTTCTAGTTTTGAGAGCAATAGTCAGGAATGGTACAAAAAGGTTACCCCTTATTATAAAGTTATACGCTAAAAGATTCCGGTTTAGCGAGGTCCATTGTATACTCTGCTACAGATTTATGTAATGATTTCTTTACAGATGGGAAGTACCGGCTGTCCGACGGCGCCGATAGTTTAACAACGCTGACCGTGATGAAAGTGGCTAAAACGGACGGTGGTGCATACGAATGCGAAGCCGAACAGATCACCGATATTTCGTCCCGATCGGACCGCGTCACAATCACTCTTATAGTTAACTGTAAGTGTTCGAAGGCAATAAAGTGAAAAAAATCGGTCTTAGAAGACAACAAAATAAAATTGACGAAAATCACTTTTGAATAGATTTCGTATTCAAATATATGTGCGAATACATAATAATCGGTAACGAGAGTTTGAGTAGGAATTCGAAATTGTTGCCTGTTTTTCACAGATCCGCCAGAATTCCCGGATGCTGAAGCAGAGAAGGCTTACGCGTTCTTGGGCGGAGAAGTGAATATGCAGTGTTCCGCGGAAGGCCAGCCGCGTCCGAGTTATGAGTGGTTCTATAAAGAGGACGGCAACTTGGTGGAACAGCCGGGCTACATTAACTACGATCCCGCCAATGCGGCATCCTATAGCATTCTCAATCGCAATATGACTGATAAGTCGCTCTTCCGGGAGTATGTTTGCAAAGCGCGCAATGCTCTGGGTACAGCCGAACGCACCTTCATTATTAAGGAAGTTGGTACGTCCAAAAATTTTTTATCAAAAATTGTTTTAAATAAATGTTAAAAGGTAAACAGATTTATAAATGTGTATGTGTACTCAGTTTGCTGCGTACTTACGATTGTCACTTGCCGGCATTAAGTAAAACGTTCGGTTTGCTGTGCAGATAAGCCAAAATCTCCGGTTCTCCGTTCGCACCGCGTCAGTGGGAACAAAATCGAAATCGAGTTGATTCCACCGCAAGTCGAGCCGCCCATGACCATCAAGGGATACCGGGCGTTGGTACGGCCAATTAACACCGGGTGGGAAAACGCTACAACGATCGACTTTAATATGGGTAAGAAAAACTTTTTGCTTTAAAGTCATTTCCGGTGTGATAGTGGTTTGTTCTATTAAATATTTATCCCTTCAGGAAAACTCCATTACATCGATTCTTTGTATCACGGCACGGATTACGAAATTAAATTCGCGGCTCGTAATGAAATTGGATTGGGTGAATTTTCGGACAGCCAACAAGTGAGGACGCATGATTATTCGTCGGGAACGAAAGCCGGCTCGTTCAGCGGAAAAGTCATCGTTTTTGTATCGTTGTTTCTGTTTGTTCTGTTGATATAAAACGATCCATTCATGTTTCCAGATGTTTTATAAAATTCAAGGCAGTTACAGGCATTTAACTGGATGGTTTTGTGTTTTTGAAGTATTGTCATGGTTTTTATGTTTAGATAGGATCTTGTGTTTTCTTTTGTTACGTAGAGGTTTTTTCGGCTTTCGACTGTTTTGAGTCGTAGATGTAGTCGTTTGCTTATTCGTTTGCTGCACATGTACATGCTGAAAAAATTGTGTTGTTGACTGTATTGTACAGAATACTGTTTTTTCGCTCTTGAATGTAGAATTAAAAATATTTCAAGCATTTTCGCGCCAGTAAAACGTAGGACGTCTCAAGCGTGAGTCAAATCTAAGCATCTGAACCGATACAACTTCATTCATTGTAATTTGAAACAGTGCCATTTCATTAACCGGAAGAGCAAAATTATAATAACTGAACCGACACTTCATGACTTTATTGCAAGAAGCGACTGTATACGAGCTATTACTGCCCAGCTTTACGAAATACAACGATTTTTGCTAGACAAAATGCATGAGGTTAGTTACTGAAAGGCGTAGCAAAAATCACAAACTCTTGACAATTCCGTATCCATTGGCATCAGCAATTTGAAACTACAGTCTGGCATTTGACTGAAAAATAAAGCCGACTCCAGCGGTTTGCATTTTAAATACATCTTTAACAGCTCTCACATATATTTATCAAAAATACATTAACTGTTTTGAAACTCATTAAATAGTGCTGTGTATCCGGGCGAAGCGTGTGAAATGCCACCGAAAATTCTGTACAGAGCACTTGTGCACATGTAGCGTTTGCATAAGCCATCGACGTTTCATGCTTTCCTTGTAACTGGAAAATAAATAATCCGGGATACAAGCTGCACTAGCTGCACTAGCTGCTCTAGTTGGCCAGCTCATAAAACAGCAGATAGGCTTCAGACGTAACAATATCATCTTCTTTCGCAGGCGAAACTCTGAAAAATAAATTTTTATCGTAAACTTTATCGTATCACGATTTTTATAGGCGTTTAGAATTTCTATTTTTCAAATTTACCTGGCATCATTATACTCGTTCCACTTGTTGGTAACCGGATGCTTGCAATAAGACACATAGTGTCCACAGTGTGTACTCCCCGAATGGCAGACTACGGCGTATAAATTATAGCGGGGCTTCGGACCGACAGCGGTGTCGGCGGCAAAATTACTGAGGTCCAGCCCATCGACCGGGTATTCGACCATCGTTGACAATTTGGCACGGAAGCGCTCTTGAGAGAAACGCTTAAGATGGATGACTAGATATTTTGGGAAGCGTTGGATGGTAAAAAACTTGCGGCACCGCTGCTTCGTTTTACAATGACAGCACGTCTGAAAAAATAATCCACTGCTTCAGTATGCCAATGCACTGTAGAGAAACTAAAACTACGGCACCGCCGGCTCAGCGCAATATATGGCCAAATAAAAATTTAATAATTTTTATTTCGCAAAAGCTCGTAACAAATCGAAATGCCTGTGTTAAAGGACACTATGTGAAATGATTAAATTCGATGCTTGAATATACTGCAGACTTAGTCCTGGGGCTTACGTTAGTTTTAGGTCTAGGAATTAGTTTTACTGCGTTTTAAGATTATTGATTTTATAATAAATTTACAACAAAAACTGTAAACATTTGTGTGAGTTTAATTAAATTAAAATATTTGCCGACATTTGATATAGTCATAAATTTATTTGCTTACGGGACTTTCGTCTCCATCCAATGTCTCTTCCCGTACAAATAATTTAAAGCATTCGTCTATGCTGGTGGAAGGTGGTGATGCATAGGTGGAACGACTCCGGCTGCCGGGAATAGGTAGCGAAAGATCCCAAAACGGATCATAAGTAACTGAGCAATAGTTGCACGACTCGCAGATCAAGGAACTCTTCAGCTGACCCACAAAAAGATCTGCAAATATGGAGAAAATGTCATTAAAAATGTCACGTGTAAGCAGCTTCAACAATAAATAATCAGTACTGTACATACCAACAATTTTGCTGTTGTCCCGCTTCAGATACCGTTTCCACGATTCCGAAGCTTTTTGTGCGTCCGGCAGATGCTCCGGTATGTCTGCCGCTTCCGTGGCCGGCTTTTCTTTGATGCGATTCACATCTTCATGCAGGCCTTCCAGAAGGTAGCGGAGAAATTCTTGAGCGTCCTGTTGCCTGTTAAAAAAAAGAATATTTATATAAACACTGTTTAAATAGGCAAGTAAATTTATAAATAAAAAAATATATTTAAGAAAAGCTATATTTACTGTATATTAAAAAGTATGTCACCATATTCCAAAACCTTCGGCAGACTGCGTCGCTGCATTTTTACTTAACTGTTTAGTGAAACACGTCGCAACCGTACTGCAATCTGTGTACATTACTTCGGTAATGAAGTATTTGCTGCACTTACAGATATCCCGAAAAACGCGGCGCATACTGCTGGACTTGCCGATGGAAGCGGTCGGGCACGTAGGGCGTGCTGGTGGAGTAGCTGGAAATGCGTTTCCACATGGCCTCCAGAACAGCCGCAAAGGCTAGATAAAAACACAACGATGATGGAACGGCACTGTCTCATGCCATGACTAACGTAATCAATGATTCAATCAAACAGAGGACGCACGTCATCCCCATTCCCTCGTCGCCCTTCGCTTACCGGATATCAACGTTCCCTTCATCTGACTGGTGGTCGTGTTCACTTCCGATTCAAACTCACTTGTCTGCAGACAGTAGTCACGCAGGGGTCGTGTATTGCTTAGACATTGTAGGATGGAGTTCATGAAACACTGTAAAGCACAAAATAAACATTTTATAATTCATGGGGAATGCGCATCTGGAGACGATCGCGCTGTATGTCCATAGTCCACATTTCTACGTAATTTTATCAGATAGAGTGCTTGTACTAGCAAAATTTCACAAGGAACTCATTTTAAAATGTCAAAGAAATTTAGAGAAAAGGATAATAAAAACTTTAAAATGTAGTTCAGTGCAGCGATAAGTAAAAATACGTCACTAGTTATAAAATTAGGAATAAAAAAATTGCGCAGCATCAATACTGACAGTACCGTCAGTACGTACCGTATTGCCCAGATTTTTTAGTCCAACCAGTCCGGCTTTATCGGATTCGTCAACATTAATGGTGGACGTCTTGCGGGCCAGCAGTCCAGACCTCCGCGGTGTGGGTGGCGAATCAGCGCGTATAATACTACTCGTATACTTTGTGGTGGCGGTGATATCGTCATCGCTGCTGGATGTACCCAGACTGCTGTCGGACGCGAAATTCTTCCCGCCAATAACGCGCTCACGGCTTTCCGTTCGTTTATAGCCGTTTTGCACCGGTTCATATTTCGAATTAATCTCCCGTCCCCGGGTGACGGAAACAGCTGGCCTTGATCGGTCTAAGCTGGGATCACGCTCCCGCACTCGATGCGGCGCGGAGGCTAAAGGCACATTGCGGCTAACGTCATCGCTGATTTCCACAGGGAACTTGGAAACCACATACCTGGAAATGCCGGCAATACGTTAAATGTATTTCTACACATACAATAATAACAAACCACTACAATTCTAAATAAAGATCGTGTTATTCGCGGAAGATTAAAATAACAAGAGGATCGAAGAAGATTGTACCGAGATTCAACGGCGTCGTCGCGCTCGACTTGAATGGGGATATCCCGTTCCACGGCCACCCGACTAACCAACACCGCCGGACTGGGATCCCGCTTGGAAATATTGCTCAAATCAAAACTAACAGAGGCATCCCGCGATCCTGCCCGACTGTAGGATCGCGATCCAATGGACGAGGCGTTACTGTTCAACCGGCTTAATCCCCCGTTGGACACACTGGTCGGGATCAGGTTGGACTCTCGCGTTCCCGTTAACGAGGAGCGACTGTCCGAGCGCTGTAGCGGCTGATAGTAGGAGGCGCTACTGGATGGCCGACTGGACGAGTAGCCGTTGGAGGTCTGCCGCGACAAGGAGGTTGAGTGCGGACTGACGGGCGGCAGCGATGCCTTATTCGCCGACAAGGAGGAAGATGGCGCCGATCGGAGTTTAACGGAGCCGGCAACGGAAACGCTGTCTTCATCCTCGCTGTCGACGGTGGGCTTCCGACTGAACCGACTGCTTCCCGTTCTATTCACATCTGTCAAGGAGAAAAACACATATGGGTCATCGACAAGTTCGTGTACACACCGGAAGTTGTGCTGATTACACCACATGCCGCACTGGTACCAGTTGGAATGCGATCACAACTGTAGCAGCTTAACTGTCAGGTACAAAAATGCTCGACAATTGTCAGCGAAACCCAATCGAAAAAATTCCTATTGCTAACAAATTATTTGACCAATATAAAAGAAAGCGAGAACAAAACAAACGGTCAAAGCGTAAACAAGATAAACTTTAGAAATATCGTTTAACTGAAAGATAAAGGGCGATGATAAATTGAAGTTAAAAAAGGCAACTGTGAAGAAAAACAAGTTTTTCAGAAATTTCAAAGCAACCTTACTGATAGAAATGAACTCCTTCAGCCGTCAGATGAAAGCAATTTGATGGTTAATGCTTTACGGTTCAGCCACTCACTCTAAATTAATAATAATGACTTACCATCAAAGTACAACGCTTGTTTTAAAACTGATAAGCTGCTGTTGCTGTCTTGGTAAGAGCACATTGCTGTACTTGGCAAACTATAAACCTGCAGTCCAAATTTAATAATCTATGGATGATCTTCCATAAGTACTACGCCCAACCTTAAAACTTCGGAAGCCTTTATAAAATAAAACGCCCCCACTGACAGCACGGGCTAAAACAACGAAATGGTATAAACTTGCGGCTATCGCACTTCGATCGGGAATCACATCACTATCCCAATAAGAAAAAAGTAAAGAGCATTCAACAAGCGTAAATTTGTCCGTTGGAACGGGACCCGAGGATGTTCAGGGTGTGACAAATGCACATGTGCCACACGAAGCTATACTCACTGGTGCGCTATTGATTTTTCTGATAAAGTCATCAGGAATAAAAGAAACAGCGATTACGTAATAACTCGCGTGTACGTTTTTTATACCCGTATCGAATGCAGCTTACTTATCTCATGAATCACTCGATATTCAACAACACCATATTTATTTATCCAAAACCGGCACGTCACAATTGAAAGCGCCTTTTCAGCTGTTCGTTGCACATGCACTAAATTCCAAAATTTGCCATTGATGAGTTGTAGAAGCATTCTCCTGTTCTTTCGTTACGATAAAATAATTGCATGTATTCGCATGATATTAAAATTATAACCTGAAAGAAAAATTAATAAAAATTCTGTAGTTTTAAATTGATTCCGGCATTAACAAGAAATCAGCAGTAAGAAAACAATTACGGTATTTACGGCGCACCCGAAACATCTGACGCCATGACTGTAACAATCTCTTAGCAAGGGCTAATAATGGCAGTCGCGGCATAAACATTGTAACCAGTTATGTTTTATCACTTTCGGCTAGTCAGCACAAGCAAAGCACTCAATAACGCCAATGCGCAATGCGCATGTCCAAAAGCATGTGCATTGTATAAATTACTTCTTCGCTATGCAGTCACATTCTAAGAATGCGAGAATTTGAGGTATTTTCAAGTCTCAATACTCTACATACCACATATTTAAAACTGTTTTTAAAAAATTCTCAAAATAACAGGGCACATACAGAGTGATCGTACAAATTGTTTAACTAAGTAATTTTATGAAATAAAATTCAGAGAATATCGCACCATTTCTTAACAGATCTAGCTCATTGATTTAATCAATAGGCGGAACTGCTGATCAAATTAGCGCATATCAGAATATCTGTTCACGAAACGTATCCGTATGTAATATTATTAAAAGAAGGAAATTTAATCAAATAAAATTCAACGAAAATTGCATCTTGAGTCACTATTACTGTCTGCAGACTCGTGCGTACAATTCGCAACGTCAAATTCCGGCTACATACAGAGTAGCTAATGTTAAATTAACTTTGAGGCGAAAGAACTTTTAATTTATCGGGATATCTCGGTATAACGAACTCCAATTCGCACAATACGATCCGAAATCGCTATTCATGATCATATTTTATCTAATCATTACTTTGCTCATTTAAACATTAAAACGAAGATATCGTTCGTGCAAGCTCATGATTAACCAGAATTTTAAGCTACAGGGATCACTGCGCTTGTCATATTATCTCTCCCATTAAATCTGCAAACAACTACTTGCAGAATGGTAAAACAACCCGAAGCCCCCGTCAAAAATACCACAATATTCGAACAAAAAATAATCAGAATGCTAGAAGACAAGAAAAAGCAAGCTGCAAGGGCAAAAAAATAAATGTATAATTATAATAACACACTTTTAGGAGATTTGGTATCGCGGTTGGTAGTCATGTTTCACGGGACAGGTACTGCGTACCTACCTGATGAGGTAGAAAAGCACATAAGCCACGCCATTGTACCACATAATAATCAGTACGGCAGTTCACTTGAGGTCCTTACATTGAGGACACAAAGTTACCTCAAAAGACCGTTAAACAATCAAGTTACGCGAGTAAACACGCCAAAGAGAGGCCACAATGTTGTCTCGTAAACTGTTACACAATACTGCAACGGCAGACGGCTGTTGTCTTCCAACAAAATACCAGATGATTCCTGTGCGCATCAACAGCAGACGGTAGTTTCTGCACAGAACAAGGCCCTCGACGAGCGCTGAGATACACACGCCACAGTTTGAGATCAGACAATTCTCTTCGCAAAATGCATATCAACATCACCCCCGCCATACAGGGACGGCAAAAGCCATGTAAAAGCCAGACAACGCACACTGCACGCATCGAGGTACGCCGGCTCACAGAGTAATCAATAATTCTCACCAGGCCAAAAATCAATAAAAAAGCTCACACACACTGGTGTAACAAGGGAAACCGACTACGTGCGCGTACTTACCATAGGAAGCCGTGTGCCGCGAAAATAAAGAATTATCAACGGAGAAGAAGCTTCGGAAAATTTTGATGTCTGGCATTTTTTTCTATGCGGTTAGTCACGATTAATCCGGCCAGGTGAGGTGAAGACGGGGCCGCGACACACTGTTCTGTCACACACTTAAGGTTGTGCCGTACGCTACACTTTTTGTAAAATTCAATGGCAAGCGGCTAGCTAATCGTGAATGAGCAGCTGGTCAAGACTCGCGCGACTTGTCTAGCGGTGTACGCTGCTATCGCGATGAGTCAGCTGTGTGCGATACCTGCTGAACTGCATTCCTCGTCGGTCAAGGCATTTACGCAAACGGCGAGATAAGATAGCTTGCCAAATGTTCAACGAATACGTAGGTGGCGCTAGTGACTGAATCAGCTGATTGTAGAAGTACTGTACATAGATAAAATTTCTTCTACCAGACAAACCAAAACAAAGAAACAATTAAGTAAGTACTTTACATACTACCCACTTCGTTCTGGCATCGTATTACTTTTGTTTTACGGAAGTGGATTAAGTACAGTGTATGACATATTTTGCGCTTGTGTTATAAAATTATCTTTCTGCCAGCTGTTTGCACTGTATGCATCAGAACTCATACCGTAGATCATATATTGTTAACATTATTATTATTATTATTATTCGTACACGTAGCGGTGGCATGGGTACCAATCCACATAATATTTTACCACAAGTTTTACAACAACAAGCAAGCCGTAGTAAATGGTAATATGGACTGAAATGTGGGAGAACACTCTTAAAATCATGAGTATTACAAAACCATTTCAAAAACGACGACGAGCACAAATTATCCACGCTCAAACAGCATGCTTGGTAGGAAATCCCGATCCACTCCTGTTGATTGCTAACCTTAGTCCATCGTGTCCGCTCTCTATGTTTCGCTCGACCATCTGGTCTGGTCTGGTGGTTTGTAGGTGGATGGGGAAGTCTACCAAGCAGCTGCTGGCGGGAGGCAGTGTTAAAATTTTAACGAGTTTAATACGTCGACCATAAAATGAATAAGGTCGGGAAACCGACACCGGCCACGTTTAAAGCACAGACACAGCTGTTTCGGTGAGCACTTCACAATGAACTTTTAGTCAGTATCCCTGCAGTTTATCATAACTTTGGTTTAAAACATTCGGGTTGATAAAGAGTCCTGCAGCCACGTAGGCCGGGTAGACCTCCCCCACCCCCCTAAGGATTCCCGATTCCCATCTATGGAACGGTGACGCTTTTCGACATCTACAGAACACACATTACGCCTTTGTTAATACAATCTTCGTGTCGTCACCGTAGCGTTTGGCAGCTAATTACGCGGAAACTATACTCAGTACTGGTTGCTATATTTATAAAAGTTGCCTATTTATACCATCGTAATAATCATGCGGTGCCGAGCCCGTTTTTGTTTCGCTTAATTTCGTGCCGGCATATGATCGAGATCTGGCTGAACCAATATCCGCTGTTTACATACTGAGATGTAAAAAATCCGGCATTTTCGCACTCTTTGAAGTAAGGATAGCATAACCAAAATAGATTTGTTTACAGAAACATCACCAAATGCTCCAGGATCCCATATAACATTCGTTATGAACATTTGCACGGCCCACAAAATACCGGAAAGCAGTATATTGTGCAGTAATGCGTACTGCGTAGGTCACTAGTTTGTGCTTTCGTGTATTAAAACAGATTGAACCAAATTTTATGCAAACACAGTCGATAGCTTTTGTAATACTAAAAATTCTGGCAACCATACTTATCATTATTAAATAATGCATATGGGTTAATTGCGCAACAAGAAAGGACAAACTGTCACTAAGGCATTTGTCAGAATAATATCAGGCACTAGTACTAGGCCAACCTCACTACGCCAACATTCATTCGCAATCCTTGACAAATTTATGGATATCAGAGCATATCCGTTTAACTTCGCTTTCCAATCTCGATCGAGTACAATCCCGCTCCTGTTTGTTTCTCATCCTAACAGAGCCAATTCAAACGGCATTTTTCGTGCGAAAAATGCCGGCAACAGCCGTCTCGTGTCAAGCGTTTAGTGCTATTCATGAATACCACTGGAAACCCAGTAATCGCGTGCAACTTACCCCGTGGTCTTTCCAGCGAGCTATCGCGACTGTATCCTGTCCCCGTCCGCGACACGGATCCGGAGCGTGAGCTGTAGTCATAGATGGATTCCCGATCACTATAATCCGACCCCGGTGTCCTTGAATACGATCCACTGCGGCGTCCATACTGGGCGCCGACGCCGGCAGTTGTTGTCACCGGCCGCAGCACATCCGTCGGGTCCAAAATAGATTTCCGATCGGCCGCTGACGAATACGCCCGCGTGGGCCCAAAAATAGGCCGACTACGTCCGTAGCTGCCGTCGCCATTTGAATACGCCGGGAACGAAGACGTACTGGACGCCGAGGGCGAGCTCAATCCGGCCCGGTCCAGACTGGACTGTGAGCCGCGGCCGCTGGAGCTGTTAGCGTCACGGTGGGCGCGCATGCGATCCTGCTGGCGAATATAGTCCACAATGCTGTTGCCGGTGAGGCTGACACTACTGGCCGGCGGTGGTTTGGATGAATACGTTGGTGTGGTGTAGTTAAAGGAGGATTTCGGCTCGCGATCACGGTGTGTCATGGTGGACAGGCCGTTCCGGTTGGCATGGTAGTATGTGGATGGTGCGATGGATGCGGCCGCGCTGATGGCGTCGTCGCGTGCGGTGGGTGCCATGATCGGACGGTGATTCTGCCTATGAGGCGGAAGATTTGTTTACACATACCGGAAAATGTCCAAATGTTGTAATTGTGCCAATATACGGTTCTGGCAGCGGATAAATATTGCGCATCTGATTACGGCTTAATTAAACATCGCGCCCGGTTTCGCCGTGCACTATACTTTGCACGACAGAAAGTGGAAACATCACTGTTAACGGAGTTAAGGGTCAAATCGCCGATGGTAAAAATAACCGGGATGTTGCAATCCGCGAACGAAAGTTTAGGCTTGGTTATGCAATATGCACGTCGTGTCTTCAAATATTGTTCACAAATCACCGGCACTGTGAATTTTGACGGCGCACAGAGGCAATCGAGCACAAAAAATAAATTTCTGCATAAAAGATTTTGGGTTTTGCAATCACATTTTTAGTCCATATTATTTGTGAAAGTAATAGTATATGATACGATTCAGGCAAATGGAACGAAAACAAACGTTTAGTATCACACGTGGCATTTATGATTCCTAATTTATTCTAAAATGCATTCTTATGCGCCCACAGACTAATGGAATTTTATTGACATTCAAGGGACAAACATTCAAACATTGCATAACTCCGTATTAGGCATTTGCAGCCGCAATACTGGGGCGCTTTGTGAAACGCTTCCGGCGGGACGCTTTGTGAGCGGCACGCTTGGTTGTCACTAATTTTTAGGCTGCACAATACCCAGCCAGCAACACAATCGGCGATTGAGGTTGTTTAGTCGTATCTGACTTTTGTCAGCAGAAAAAATATGCGTGCATGAATTCTGCTGAACGCAGTGTAATTCTGACACATGTGTTTACATCGCCAACACCTTCCCTGAATAATTCCGGAAAACGATTTCCACGAAATAAAAATGTTTGTAATGCTCATACCGCTGTTGAGTGTTGACAACTTGCAAATTTTATGAATCACAACAACGTACATGTCGCAATATCTTGAAATTCTAAAGTTTTTTGTACGAAAATGAATCGACTTTTTTTATAACAATATATGTTTTTCTCTTTAACCATGAGGCAACAGGCACAGATTTTCCGGTGCGGATCAGTCTGGGCTAGAAAAGATTTGGCTTGTCATAGGCATCAACTCAACTTAAAGCAATTTCTATCCGAAATCTCGAAGTAATTAGCTATAACCGTTAACAAAACAAAACTGTATAAAGTTTTAGAACGGCCTTAGTTGCACAGTACAGAAATAGAGAATAATTGAGTAGGTCTTTCCTAGTTATTTTAGTTAGTTGTAAAACTGAAAACTGGACTTCAATCGAAAATTTGTGTTGTTAAATTCTTTCCGATCATGAAACTCTTAAAAAATAGCTAGATTTCACAATGAAATAGTTTCAAAAACGATGCAGAGTTTTATATTGTTTCATCCGGTTAGACTATATTGCCTTTGACAACAGTCTTCTGGGAGTTCCCATAAAAGGGCAACTGTGTGAAAACAGTTCCCATACCAAACAAGTCGTATAATACAGAACTCCGTTTTGAACTTCTTACCTTAAATTTTGCACAGGTTACGTTTAACCATCCGAATATCCAATACTCTGCACCAACAAACCAAACCCTAGCGGGTTTTATATAACGTATCCTTACTCAAGTACTGGCCCGCATATCAAGTGCGATGTTTGACAGAAAAAAACCGGCACACTGATCTGTAAACACTTTGTAATGGTTGTGCGATGATCTTTTCAGAATCTGCGTATATCCAGCCTGGCGTTTGCGCAAGGATTCCGCAGTATAACATCACATAGAGTGCGTACATGTACATATAAATAATCCGGTTAGTTATACTGTGCACTCCACTTTTTCTTTTTGAACCAGAACTTGGACGTGCAACGTGTTGTCAAGCGTTGGTGGAGATTTATGCTCTTTACCGTATGCTTTTCAAATGCAAAACACGGGTACTGCGTCAAATGAGTCACATCCGCCGTGACTTCTCAATAGGCTGCCGACGTTTTTCCCGCGGCAGAAATCGCTTAGTTTGCCTGATTTGTACACTGTTGATCAGCTGGTCTCTCCTTACGACCTTGCATTAGACGGCTACGAGTATCTGCGGTGAATTCTGATCGTCTTAGGTTTTTTTGCTACGGCACAGAGGAAGCCGACTACTGCAGCCGAAAGTGTAATATATATAAAGCGGGCAATCCATTTTTGGATGCCGGTAGCGTGTCAATTCTCAAGCGAGAAATTGTAATGTTGTCTTTCCGACATTTACGAGAGCCGACACAATTTGTACTAAAGTGCATTCAGATGCTTAATGAGCGTCCATTCCCCGAGAAATATTGTATTTTCCAGTTTACAAGGCATCACGGGATTCTTTTAGTTGTTGTAGAAAAAAGCGATGCTTAAGAAGTGCCGTATGCGTAGTTTTGCCGGCAGTAAACTAAGCACAGCTTTGCCGGTATTAGTAGTAACAGTTTTGGAAACTGCAAAGCTGATAAAGTTCGAGTACGTTTCGTCAACAGTGATCAGGCAAATGACGTTAATTTAAAGTTCAAACAGGATCTGCCGGCATTAAACCGTAAACGAAATTTAGCACCTCTTGAACACTCGAGACGAAACCTGGAACACAAACACTATCTGCAATAAACAGTAATGTTTCACTCTCTAATAACCGCAACAACATCCGGTGACTACGCAAACAGCGCATTAAAAATTTGGGCAGTGTCACGCTTTTGGTTTACTGAACAATCACCATTTCGATGAAGTCTCGATAAACTTACTGACGATAATTTTATTTAGCTGGGTGACTGGGTGATCGACAATAAACAATTTTATTTTTACGATGGTTCCTATGTACAACAATTCTTTACATGGCTGGTAAACGCGTTCAGATTTGCAACAGGTTGCGAATAAGGGCAACATCATCCATAGAGCGTTAAAAAAACCGATTACCATAATACTGATTGTTGGATCTAGATCCATAGCCGCTATCGAAACCGCTACGGCCGTAACCATTATTATTGGAGTTGTATCCGCCACCATTTCCACCGCCGTATCCACCTCCGTAGCCACCACCGTATCCACCCTGGCAACATTAAGAAAACTTAGCGTAATAACAGAAAAACAGAAAAAAATTTCAAATCATGGTCAGGGTAAAAGAGCTGCATATACTATCTGTACTTACGTACGGCTAATAAGATGAAATTTACTCCACATTTAACGCAAATTTTATTTTGACAGAAAGTTTACCAGCAGGAACGATTTACTTACAGACGGATATGGCGGTAGTCCAGGTGCCGAAGGGTAACCGGGAGCCGGCGGAAGGCCAGGAGAAGAGGGGTAACCGGGAGCAGGCGGAAGTCCAGGAGAAGAGGGATAACCGGGAGCCGGCGGAAGTCCAGGAGCAGAGGGATAACCTGGTGCAGGAGGCAGACCAGGCGCACTAGGATAGCCTGGAGCCGGCGGAAGTCCAGGTGCATCTAAAAATAGCAAATGTTAAGTATTCATGTTTGGCTGAGTCGATACAGTTTGTCTGTACAGTATTTGTTATCGTTTAATACTTACTTGGCAGACCCGGTGCCGGAGGCAGTCCAGGAGCACCTAGTGATCGACGCACAGCAGTTAATTATTGTAACTGGGTTTTTAATGACCCCGGTGCCTATTGTACCTGGCAAACCCGGGGCGGGAGGAAGACCAGGTGCCGGCGGAAGTCCTGGAGCTCCTACACAAAATAAAGGTCATGCGTTGCAGTGAGCAATGCTGTATAACAGCGCAAGAAATCCTCGCGCCTTGCAGCTCCTTATAACCTAATTATAATTCAGCATTCTTGCAGGAATAAGGATATACTTAATTTACCTGGTAGAGCTGGTGCCGGTGGTAATCCGGGGGCAGGAGGCAGCCCCGGCGCTCCTGTTAAATTTCTTGGTTTTACAAGTTGTTCAAGCAGATTTTAACTTTGAGAGTGCATTTCAGCGCAGACTTAATAATATACTAATTTCCAGATAGGACCAGACTTATCTGTGTATGTTCTTGTACGTACAAAAATAAGTTTTTAATACTAGCAAGTGGCAACAATTTACCGGGCAAAGCAGGTGCCGGAGGTAAGCCGGGCGCTGGTGGTAACCCAGGTGCACCTTAGAAAACAACATTGTACCTTTGGCAATCACCATTCATTTTATTTTGCGCAAGATTTGAAATATGCGACATAAGGCCAACAGGCAAAGCACATTTTCGTTGAGGAAATTCTTACCAGGGAGTGCCGGTGCAGGGGGTAGACCGGGCGCGGGTGGCAATCCGGGAGCACCTTTACAACATATAAATTTATTAGGAGCCCACAAACAGAGAATCTAGATAATACTGTAAATCTTTGACAGAATATTTGCAGATCCTTGTTATTTTTAGTATCTTGCAAAGTTTTGCTGGCAGAAAACAAAATACAGTACGTAAACCGTCGCACTGTCAACTGTCCGTTAGGTATATAGCCGGTGAATAACAAATTGTATGGATACGGTATATATTTTTTTTATACATATGTCAGTTGCCATCATACGTACCAGGTAAGGCCGGTGCGGGTGGAAGTCCTGGAGACGGTGGTAGCCCGGGAGCTCCTTCAACATACAATTATGTTATCATATGTTTTACTTAAAAAAATTGAACGTTTAAAGGTTGCCTGGCAAAGCGGGCGCTGGAGGCAATCCAGGTGACGGTGGTAATCCAGGCGCTCCTACAAGCATACGAAAATAACTAATCACTTGACAGTATTTACGCATCAGTTAGGGGCTTGTAGCATTGATACAAACTCCGTACGAAATAGTTGCACACATCAATAAACGATAGTTAACGATGACAAGAGGTGCAACAGCACAACAATAAGTAACCTGGTAGATACTCAGTTTTAAAAAATTAAGGTGTACGCTAACCTGGCAGTGCTGGCGCCGGGGGCAAACCGGGCGCCGGCGGAAGGCCTGGTGCATCTGTTGCAAACACACGCCACGCAGCAGTTAGTCAAGATGCTCATGAGACGCTCCCATTTTTTTACTGTTTGCCTTCCGCCGTCCTCACGTGATGTTTACCGTGGCTGCTGAGCTACCTGGTTACTAAATTAATTACCTACAAGTCTACTGCAATTAAAATTCACCGAAGTTTAATAAGAAGCTGGAAGCCTCGTTCAATAGTAAATCCTCAGCCCAATAAACTGACTGAACTTTCTCATGCTTAATAATAATTACTTGGTAATGCCGGTGCTGGTGGCAGTCCAGGCGATGGTGGAAGGCCGGGTGCTCCTGTGAAATAAGAATGATATTTGGTATTTTACCATACCTTATACCAGTATCTGTAGCCTGGCAGTAGGTACCAGCTGCAGATCCAGGTAGGTACGCGTTGGATAAGACAAGATGCACATGTCTTCTCCGGCTAAAAGTTTCGAGTTTTGTATTAAGCTTTCTAAACACCAAATACGAAGTTGCTTTGTTACTTGGTTGACACAAAACCGTCCTGTGTCATGTATTTGCACAGAGTGATCATGATGTTCATTTTGGGCACATTTGGATTCTGTACCTGGCAATGCTGGTGCAGGTGGCAGGCCGGGCGAAGGCGGCAGGCCAGGGGCTCCTGCAAAAACTTCCTTGTAAATTGAGAAGGCGTAATAAGGCGTAACGTAATGATTTGAGCAGAATATGCACAGCATTCTGCTTTATTCGTGATAAAGGCGTATGCCGTTTTCTTGCAACTAAGCGGCCATAAGAATTTACAATAGGTACACTAACAGATAGGTATTGGAAATTCTATTACATCAAAATGTACCGGGTAATGCAGGTGCCGGGGGTAAGCCTGGTGATGGAGGCAGTCCGGGAGCTCCTGTATATCGGAAAGGTCAAGAACATCAGTGTCTCTTAAGCATTAAACGACTGCATTAAACTGCACAGAATTTTTAACGTTACTGTATTTACCTGGTAGTGCCGGGGCTGGCGGTAATCCTGGAGATGGTGGCAGACCTGGTGCACCTGCATTTCATGTACCCAGTGTCAGTTTTACCTTCATTGTTCGCCCTGTCTTATCAGCGCATCACAGCGCGATTACAAACCGGGCAGTGCTGGAGCGGGCGGTAAACCAGGGGACGGCGGCAATCCAGGAGCGCCTGTAACGTTAAACGGCTTGCTTCGTTCGTCAGCACAATACTACTATCGCTGAACAAGCCTAAAGTCTTCAATCTTGCAGTTGCACAAAACATGGATGTACCTGGTAAAGCGGGTGCCGGTGGCAGACCGGGTGCGGGCGGTAACCCAGGAGCACCTATACGGTAATACAGTCAGCTGACTTCATCGCTAGCAATTTCTGTATCTTCCGCACTATGGTGCAAATATACAGGTAAAGTGTCGGCACAGGACATCAGTTTGAGTACCTGGAAGCGCAGGCGCAGGCGGTAGACCAGGAGAAGGAGGCAGTCCCGGAGCACCTGGAAATTATATCACGACTAAAGTGCGGGAGTACGAATAGGATACGCATGCAGATACGTCTGCGTGCATTACAGTTTGTGCATATTGTTTACCTGTGATTGGACGACGCTAACGTCCAGGTGATGGTGGTAAACCCGGTGCCCCTGTTGAAATGTAAAACAGCTTTGAATACGATACAATAAGTACGTTACACTGTACGCTCCTGAACCATGGAAAACGTACCAGGCAGCGCGGGAGCGGGAGGGTATCCCGGACTAGGCGGTAAACCCGGAGCGCCCGGAAGAGATGGACTGGGCGGATAACCCGGGCTGGGCGGAAGTCCCGGGGAGGAGGGGTAATCCGGACTGGGAGGCAGCCCAGGAGAAGACGGATACCCCGGGCTAGGAGGTAGTCCAGGTGACGATGGATATCCTGGACTGGGAGGTAGTCCAGGAGAGGACGGGTATCCTGGACTGGGCGGCAGTCCCGGAGACGTGGGATAGCCGGGACTGGGAGGGGGGCCGGGTGCTGACGGATAACCGGGCATACTAGGTGCTACCGCACTGGGAGGATAAGGAACTGAAGGATAGGAGGCACCGGTGCCGTATCCATTATCACCGCCATTGTTACCGCTACTCGAGCCAGCCGAGTATCCGTTGGATCCGGAATTGCCGTATCCAAGTTGGTTTAATGTGGCGTCTCCGTATTGTGTAGCACGGAGTGCCGCTGTTAAATTAAACCGTGATTTGCATATCGTTTTACAATGACTGACCCTGGTGAGCAGGCATGATATTTATACAATATGTATGTACCGTACAATAAGTCACAATTTATTAGATGTGCATAAGCTGATAAGCAAAACCGTTCATGCTTACCAATGCAGCTGAAGAAGAATATTAAATGCGAAATCATGATGAGTGATATACAATTCACAGCACCGGAAGGATAATTACGTCCCAAGCGCAAAGGTCAAACTTAAGTCGGCCAGGTAGTATACATTGCGATGATTCTGTTGACCAGTTATTCCTGCGTCTGTACCACTTAACGTTCAGCGCTCAGATAACGTACAGTTTTGTGGTAAACTGAGCAGATGATATTACGGGATAACGTAACTAACAATTAAATGCTACTTTCTTTTAGAAAATTCGGCGATCACAGCGGTGTGGGGTGATAAAATGAAATGGCCAATAATTACATAAGACTATCTTAAACTTATGTAGTGTATGCCAGACCGAAGTCAGGTCATTGAGCAAAGCGGGTAATTATGAACGATTTTTCATTTGTGGAATTTTTCATTCGAGGTAAATGCGCTTTTGTTGTCAGTGCTAACGTATTTCAGTATTTGTGCACCATAGCCGTACTTCCAAAGTTTTCATGGCTTTGACAGCGCGATATAAAAGTTCTTGTCACCTTGATCATTTTGTGCTCTACAGCAGCGGAGATCAGGCTAGAAGATTTTTAAACTTTCGAAACCGCACTTACTGGTACAGAAGTGCTTCGTATAGGTCAACGTTGCTGTTCGCTGCCAATGCGCTGAACTTGGATGTCCGGTGTCCTAGAAAGTCGTTTACTCGCCTTCAAATTAACGCTACATGGTTGTACCTGATCAACAGCAGCCGCTTGTTATTTATTATGCATACAGGAAAGTACATATTTCGAAAACATTGGTTATCTCGCTGTTCGGATGAATACAAAACAACAAAACTACAGATAGATGCAGAACTATCTCAGCTATTTAAAACTGTTAGCAGTTAGCAGCAGTCCATAAGCACCGGAAAGGGCTAACAATTGTCAGGAACGCACGGGTACAAACCAGGTTTCGCTCTAATGGTGGCGTATAATCCACGCGTAACCGGTATTTCCATAGCATTGCATGGATGCTCAGTTCTGAATCGGTGTTTTTGTGAAAACGACAAAGTTGCACCGGTTGATTGCAAAAATTAGCCATTTAATTTTTTACATAATGCCATAAACCAAAAACAACGAAATTATAACATGTGCGACGTCAAGAGATATCAAACGCTTTGTTCACAGATGCGTAACCGTATCCGTAGAAATCTATTTTATCGAAAAATTGCAGAAAAAAAGCATAAACTAAAGGCTGCTTTCAGAATCTTACAAAAAACAGAGATCGTTAGCTTAAATCGAATATTCTAACTATCGCATTACTAGTCCTCATCAGAGTTTTGAAAATCGTCATCATCGTCATCATAATCGTCCGGATCATCGTAATCATCCGATTCGTCGTAATTATCATATTCGTCCTCCTCTTCCTCTTCATCGCTGTAGTTTCCCGCGGTTCTCTTTATGAACAGACAGAGAAGAACGGACACTGTGGTTCGGCGTAACGTCAAGAGATTGGCACTCAAGTTTGCTGCTTTTACGTTGTTCCATGTTGCATTTGGTCCAAAGGGACCGGCATTCTGCCAAGTTTTTAGCACCTACAAGAAATTCACTGTTAAATAGAACCCGTTTAAACTAGAGTACGTATTTAATTTGCTTAGAACACATGCATTCCTACAACACGATGCGCGTTAATTTGGTTAAACTTTAGATGATGTCAGGAGCATTCAGAATGTAAAAATTACGTAAAAATATTCTTATAGTAAATATTTACTTTAAGGATTTCTTCCTTGCGAACTTCGGTGAGAGTTTCATCACGATCTGCAATCCAATCCGACAGACGATCCAGTTCAGCTGTAAACGGGAGATTCGGGTCGGAGAAATCCGTAGCGGCCCGTTCAAAAACATCCATCAGTGCCGTTTCCGAGTGCGCGTCCACAACAGCGTACGGGATTTCCAAATCCTGGTATGATCCAAACGATTCCGAACCGTAATGTGGGAACGACACGTACGGATTGAATACACCCCAGATTCGTACACGTTTCAAGATCAATCGGTTGCAGATGAGCTTCACATTCTCCGAAAGCGCTGTTCGGGAGATTGCCAGAATATCTTGTGGCTTGATGGCCACATCACACAACATAAACTTCGGCAGTCGGAAACCGCGTATCTCAATCACAGACCGCAACGCGCTGAAAGCACCAACAAATTCCACACTTGTCCCGTTCCGGAAAATCAGACATTTTGTTACGCTGGTCATGCAGTGAAAAATCCAAGAAGCTAACACGTAATCACCACTGGTGGCTTGGAAACTTTTCAGATCAACGATGACATGTTCAGCACATGCTGAGGACCGTGCAGCCGCATCCCACGCGGCACAAACAGCCCGCAATTTGGTCTGCTGAAGACCGTTACAAAAAGAAAAGATGGTTTCAATAAGCTCCAGTGGAAGCTCACACAAAGACATATCGCCAGGCAGTTCGGGGGTGTCGGAGACGTCATCGCTGTCAACCAAATCTTCATGGGATCGTTTGATTCCCCGGTCTGCTTCATTTGAGTCCGTCGAATCCCCCGCAGCCAATGCCATGGCTTCTCCCAACGCACTTTCCTACAAAATAGTGGTGGCTGACTGGCTGCGCTTTTGTCTGGAGAACAAACATAAATTTCAAAAATATTTACAGTTACTCAGTAAATCTTAACAAACGTAGAACATATGGGATGCACTGATATGCACCTTAAAATATTCGAAGGGTAACTTTAGATGGACTCTAGCTTACGTAACGAAATTATGCCTAATTAACTGCAAACTGCAAAAACGACTAAACTAGAACACACCATATCGTCAGCGTCCAAATGCAGCCAACCGTAATAATACACATTGTGACAAACGTCCAAATTCGACATAATAATATGGGCTTGTACAGAAAGCTAGCTTATTATCCTATACGTAAATAGTTAGCCGCTAGCTCATATAACCTAAAATATTTTAAAACAGGGTGATTCGACTAGCAATTTTTAATTTCATGTTAAAGGATAATTTAATGGCTCATCTACATTGTTCTTAGTACAAGTGCAGGCTCTAGAAACATAACTAGGCTGCGCACATTTAACACCTTTCGGTTGCTTATCACGACTTTTCCATCCAGGCTGCTGTCATATCGCAGCTGCAAGTACTGCAACTGACCGTTCTCCAGTCCGATTAGAAACGTTCTTGGAAACCGATTTTCCCACAAAGTTTTCACATTCGACGTAAACTTGAATCCCTCGGGAACGGGTACTTCCTCTTTCAAAATTTCGTTCTTAGAAGACTTTCTGGTCTGGCTGCAACTACAAGTCCGAAAATGGCAGACGCGAACAACATCCACAACGCGATCATCGCCTATCAATGCTTCAACGATCCAATATGTTGTTGACGAACCCGCGAAAACTTTGCATGCATACCACGCCCAAGGCTGTTCGTACGATGGTTTTAGCAAAACCTCCCCTACAGTCGAATTATCATCCCTATCCGCAGAGTAAAATCGGTTATTTGGTTGGAAAAGTTTGTTGTCCAGAAACGTCTGCTGGAATGGAACAGACTCAGGCGCACTGTTGGGAATAGAGAAATCGATCAGCCATCCGCGCTCCGTTTTATCCACGATCAGGCCTCGATGAACAGTCCCAGCTCGAACAATATCTGCGGAGTTCCATCGATTATGCAAGCAGGGTGACTATTCGAGGAAGTTGCATTCAGCGTTGCTTGCATAAGGCTGGATAGTGGACTCGAAGACCACATTTCGACGAAATGAGTCACACGGTGTCTCAGAAGTCAGAAGCGAAGATACTCTTACAAGCCGTAACAAGCGCAAGCCTAGGTACTCTTGCGTACCAATGACACCATTGATCCTCTGACAACTGCTTCCAATCAGCATTGCAGAGGTTCTAGTATATTAAGTATTTCAAGTGTGGAAGGATATCCTTTCTTATAATCCGAATGCGCATTGTAAATAGTGGAACTGCAAACAAGAAAATAAAATAATTATAAGTGAAAACTGGCAGCAGTCGCAATGCGCAATGCTGCTCTGCGGAGTAGCGGGCTAGTAGCGGGGCAATTGATGATTCTCGCCAGGGTGGCGGCCTGTGGCGGTTGGGAGCTGTGCGACTGAGGCACGACGGGAAGTCATCGTAGGCCCATAGAAACTAGTACTTATCTCGCTACTTTTTAAACAGCGCGCGTTCGCAAACTGTACTGTTTGTTAACTAGACAGTTAAATGAAAATTCACAGAAAACCATCTTCTGCAAACTAGAAAATAATGCGTGATAAAAACGCTCAAGGTATTCTTAAATTAAGCGGTTGCTCTATGTCCATGGTATTACTCGACCGCCTTAAATTTTAGCACGCGACCAGAAACAGAGCGCATGCGTAGTTCTCCTGTTGGCGCACTGTAAAATCCTTGTTTGTTAGTGACGTCAGACTGACACACTGCCAGTCTGCAGTCCAGGCGAGAATCACGAATCAGAAAATCACTGCCCGTCGCCGGCAACCACCTCAGTAAGTACAGTACTCGTACTTCTTTCTGGAATGAAATTTTCGTACTTTTCTTACGATATATAGGTTATCAGCACCATGGCTTTTTAAACCTACCTGATGATGTACCTACGCTGTCAGCACTCAGCAGTACGCGAAGAGTTTTGGAATCAGATGATGTTATTAGTCTTTGTTGGAGTTATAGCACTTATCTCTTCTACTTTGCCGTTTTGATGCTTCTGTCGAACTCGTACAAATGGTAAATTTTGCATTACTTACATAATATTATAAACAATAAACAGCAGATATTATTGAGGTGTTCCGTGTTCGCCGCCAAGGAGTCGTTGTTCGCCCCCAAGGATGCCCAGTGATTCCTAATCCCTAATTAGTAATTACCCATTTTTCCTTCGGTAATTTCAGTTCGAGTAGATATTTGTTATACGTAATCTTGGAGCCTTGTTAATTCTGAAGAGCATAATGGCGATGCCAGTGATTGATGAAAACGGCGGAGAGCTCTGCGATCCACCGATAGACGCGACCGATTTGGTGCTGCCAGTGTCAGACACATCGGGCCGTCAGTCGTCCCATAGTGACTACAGCTCCGCGAGCCAGTCATCCGATGAAAATAGCCCGAAACGACGGGAACGCCCAGAGCCTCCCAAGACCAGCGAACGTGATGAACTGGTGAGTAAATCTGTTACGACCGTCATGTAGCTTTCAAGTTTTAGCCTTCGTGTTTCTAATAGCTGTTAAAAGTCTGGACCAACAGAGTAAGTACCTGATTGGATCATTCACCTTTCAGCGCTAGAAAAACAAAAATTGATTAATCCGCTAACATCGCCAGACGCCAGTTACTATGGCTGTGCCTTGTGCGTAAATGTCGCAGTAAGCATAGTTTCACCACCGCTCTGCTCTTTCTTCAAGATTATGCCTGGAAATGAGCTAACTATTAGTACTTACTTTTCTTATTAATTTGTAAGTTTACGCCTGAAGAACTACTCGTACTGATTTTTTTTTTAAATTTACGCCTGAAACATGGATTTTTTCACATTTTAAGTTTACTTTTTAAACTTAAAATGTGAAATTAATCATTGTAATATGCGTGTTACAAATCAAATCAGTTAATCTGTTAATGCCTGTTATTTACTGTTTACTGTTTAGTTTAATTTCAAATGGCAGGCATTTTGTGAAGCATTGGGCCGGCCGGATCGGGAGGTGCGCATCTCCGAGTTGAGTAGAAATAACTTAGTGCTGATTCGCGTCTCCGAACGGGCCACGCATGTGCTGATGCGAGCTACAACTGGGGTGAGTGCTTCTTACATTCCCAAACAGTTCAACAGTTAACTAGACCGTTCGTACTTGGCGTCTGCAGACGATTATCGAGCCATTATGGTGTCCCCTGCGCTTTGAAAAGACCGCCGTGGAGGCGTGCAAGAAATTCCGCGCTGGCTACCCGCAGGATCTGAAGGCGCATCTGGAAGGCCGTTATCACGGGCTGCCCAACGTGCAGCTGAATTTCCACTGTCCCTGCCCGGCCCAGTGCAACAACGGCGCCTCCTGCGACGCCGTGGAATTCGATCCGTGGGGCACCGTTCTCGGCTGCCACATCCGGGACAAACATCCAGTGTATTATACGGAGATGCTGGAGGCCCTCTTCAACCGATTTGACACGGAGACTGGCCCGGTAAGATATTGGCATTCCCATGGAAAACAGATGTATAGTTCCCGGGGTACTAACTATTGCAGAAGCACCGGGAGTTTATTCGCAGTAACAAGAACATGATCTTCCCTAAGTGGACTAGCGACTTAACTGTCTTGTGGCCCAGTCAGATCATTCCCGACAAGATCATCTTCCCCGCCGTTATCAGAGACAACACCAGTTTGGTATGGTTATTTTGTGGCTTTAAACAACAACAGCAATGTGTCCATACTCTGTAGTCTATAGTTATACTGTTCTGCAAGTTTACTAAACGTCAGAGTTATGTAAGCTTAATATTGTTATTGTTTAATTACTTATTGTTTATTGCTTAATATTTGTTAAATTTAATTGATGGTGCACTGCTGCACGCTCTACGAGAGCCTAGTATCGTTTGTGGCAGTTTTTATCGTAAATTTGTGTGGATTACACCACGGTATAACATACGGAGGCGGTTGAGCTGGCGACGGGCAGTACTGGCAGTGCTTTGTTTCAGTGTGACTGCAGACTGACTGCTGCCAAGTGCCAAACTACGTGCAGATTTTAAATATTCAAAAATCTTTAACTTTGTGTATACTGGAGCAAAAAAAGTATCCATAGGCTTGAAAAATACATAATAATATTTACTTTTCGGCAGTATGAATGCAGTTTTTTAGTCTGATAAGTAAATGTTATTATGTATTTTTCAAGCCTATGGATACTTTTTGCTTTAGTATACACAAAGTTAAAGATTTTTGAATATTTAAAATCTGCACGTAGTTTGGCTGGAGTCACATTGAACAAAGCACTGACAGTACTGCCCGTCGCCAGCTCAACCGCCGCGGTATGCTAGACCGTGGTGTAATCCACACAAATTTACGATAAAAATTGCCACAAAGTCAAACGATACGCCTGCACGGTAACACTATGCTCTCCTTCTACGCTGTGCTTTATCTATGTAGAACAGCGAAGGATGTAAGGTAGTGCATTACTTATGCAATATCGCTCCGTGTGCGGGGAACGAGATCAAAGGAGCGAGAGAGCTGCACGGGCATCTGCTGGCGGAGCACCGTATCTTTTTCAAGACGCCAACGGACTTCTACCATGGCTGCCCGGCAGCTGCACAGGTAACATCGTTTTCTACGGAAGCATTGTACTCACGCTTATAACCCAGTACCACGGGTTTCTCTTGTTCTCACATTCTGTAGGACTGCAAGGTGGAGACGCGGGCCAGAGACCGCCAGATGGAGGCGCACATCAAGGCGGTGCATCCGCAGCTGTTGGGGCTGACGGCCCAGTACCCGCCGGCAGCCGAACAGGTGCCGGATGAATGCAATTTTTCATATGCTGTGGCTGCGGAGCGGGGATTTAATATTGTAGTCTGTTTTGGTCGATATTTTAACTGGTCGTACTTTGTAGGAGCGTGCGCGGTTGGAGTGCATGGCGGTGGAGGAGGCTGAGTGTGTCGGAGAGTCCATCAGCCGCGGCGTCGACACGGAGGACGCCGCCACCAACGACCCGTTTCTCTACGACTACCACTGCCCCGTCGGGGTAAGCAAGTCTTGCAAGTAATGTACTGTACCAGCTTGTCCCGGAATTTCTGTGTCGCTTCGTAGTGTGGAGTTTGGCGTAACCCGTAAATTTGTGCTTGTGACACATGCAAACTGTCGCTGCGTTATCGCAATGGCAGTTACGGGACAAACTTGTGAATGCGTTAATTTCGTCCGATAACCCGCGCAGCGTGAAACGACCCATCAAGTCTTTTGTGCTTTATTTGCAGAAATGCCAGGTAAATTATTCCCAACGCGACTACATTTTCTGGCACATTGGCGCCGATCATGAAAAAGACTGGAATCCCGCCGTTTAAAGCTCTTTCCACAATGTCAACGGGTGAACTTTTGACCGCGGCCTCCCGTTGTCGTCTGAGCTTAATAAAATAGCAAGTTGCGATGTTTCAGTTGGCGGAAACGATGTGGCACTGATTGCGCTGTGAAGATGAGTTCGCAGCTGTTGCATTTGTCCTGGAGGACGTCTTCACGCGTTGATTCTCAATTTTTCGCTCTCATACTGACAGTCCTTGTTTTTACGAATTTCCTTTGAATTTTAGCAAGATGGTGGTTTTTATTGCCAGTTTCGTCCCGTTTAACTCCTTCTTGTGGCATGTTCACGCTGATCAAATTTGCTGTACATGTATCTCTTTAGTTAAGAAAATGAATTAATCAGAACGATGTCAGCTGGATTTGTTTGGTTATTGCGAAAACAGAATTACTCTTAACGCATCCCTTTTCAGTGACTGAGCAGCAGCACCGACGCTGCGATGGAGCGGCAAAAGGTCTGCCAGTGAATCGGTACTGCACATAAGTAAGTACAACACATACAGAGTAGCAAAATTAATAACAAAAATTATTAAAAGGAAATCCAGGAATAAATTAAACTGACCACGAATAATAATTATTGGCTTTATTATGCACGAAGTATCCTCCCGAGCAATTGCAACATTATTGTGCTATAGAAACACCTCACACTGTACCCAGAAGGATCTACTCACCTCAATTTCATTAATTTTATAGAAAATAATCCAGTACATTTATTTAATCCTTGTGCATTTAGCTTATACACAACAGTTAACATCACAACGCAATACACTCAATCAGCAGAAAACAGCCTCGGGAGGTCTAAGAACAGAGAACAACTGAACTAAATTTGCTCCTGGTGGAGCTGTTCCCTGGACGGAGGCCGCGTTCCCGCGCTGTATTTCTATTCTATCCAGTACTTTAACAGTACGTCCTTACGTACAAGTATACGAGTACCATACAGTACTTACGTACTGTCCTCCCACAAAGGCTCACTTTGCTGTTTCACTGTGTAAACAAAAGTGCAGCAAGACGTAAGCTCAATTTAAAGACTTTGGTACGATACAGTAGTTACTTAATAGGAAATCACTATAGGCACCCCCTTACACCCTCGTTTATTATAGGCACCCCTTCTCGCACCCCGTAATTTATAGACACCCTTTTCTGTTTATTAAATAGAAAAATAGAAACACTCTGTCAATGTATTTTATAGGCACCCTTTAATAGCATATTTCGGATACAGAATTCGAAGATGATTTCATGTACTGTACGTGCGTCAGTCTCATACAGATACTGTACTCGCATACAGACAGAATCAGGCTTTCCATCCGATGATCGGGCGGTGAGGCTGATCTGCTAACTTAGATCTAATGAGGATGGCATCGTCGGCGGTAATTTTGATGTTTCGTTTCGCAATAGTATGTAATTTCGGATGCCGGTTTTCTGTCGGTTCTTTTCGGACACCGGGTGGCCTCCTTGGGTTCTTTTCGGACACCGGGTGGCCTCCTTGGGTTCTTTTCGGACACCAAAGTTTTTCCACTGTGTCTTTGTGGTAGTTTTTAAAGGCGGTGAAAAACGCGTCGATAAGTGGTTCCTTTCATATGACATAAAACAAAGTGCAACTGGACGACCTTTCCCGTGGCGATCTTGCACAACAACAGCGTACAAGCAGTAGTTTTCAACATTACCGTATCTAGGTTCTAACACTACAATTACAGTATAATATGCTAAAATTTCATAGGGGTGCCTATAAAAAACAGGGTGCACGAAAGAATCAATTAATAAAATAAGGGTGCCTTTAATTAACGGGGTGCGGAAAAGGGGTGCCTATAGTAAACGGCGGTTTTTGGGGTGCCTATAGTGTCACCCTACTTAATAATAACCTTTTAAAAAGACGTACCGGCTATGCAATGAACCTCCCAGTGTAAGTGCATATTATGCACTCACACTGGGAGCTTCGTGAGTTTGGATTAAGTGAATGTATGCAAACGTAGCAAATTCGACGCCGTTGAAGACATTTTCAAGTCCATCCAAGTGTATTGGTCTGTCGCAAAAAATACGTAATTAGTGTAAAAAGAATACGTAATTAGTATCATCAGGATCCATCGTTACAGACGTCTGAGCGTAATAAACTGGCAAGTTTACTTACGTTTTTCGTACGTCGCATACAACGCATAAAGTTCAGAACGCATAAAAGCCAAAAAATAAAAGTTCTTACGTCGCATAAAGTTCAAAACAAGCCAAAGAGTAGATAAAACTTCAAAATAAGCCAAAAAGTTGGCCAATAAAACGATAAATAAACTAGAACGGAGTCGCTTCTGGCGCCAAATAGGGGACATATATTCCGTCGAACAGGTCCTCTAAATGGCATACTCCATAGTTTTTGGCCGCAAAAGACCGCCCCATCACGCCACGATAGCGTTCGGCAAGTTATCCGCTGTAATCGAGCTCGGCGGATATTTTTCCTGCACAAGGGCCAGATCCACCTTGAAACGGCGCTTCTGGGATTCGTGCGTCAGCGTCACAATACGAAAAGCTCCCAGTCCTACCACCTACAGATAAATCACTTGAGTGACTGCAAATAACGAAAGGCATAAAACTGCGTTATTTTTCCACTGATACTGCAAACTTTATACAAACCTGAATATCTTTCGTCACATCCTGCAATTCTCACAGCAATACATCGTGGTCTATGTAGCGAGTACAGATACGGGACCCGCTTCCCAGACCGATAAGAGTGTGATAGCGGTCCATGAACATCTGCACAGGATACGCAGCTCTTTCGGTCGATGTCAAAATTCCCGCAACATCATCAGCAAAGTCGTTGTTTTCTTCACTCGAACTGCCTACACAAACAAAAGCTCATAACACGCATAAACTTTTAAAAATATCTAACTGATATTTGACCGTTACCATTTTCAACGCCGGTTCGTAAGATCAGTTTGCGTGGTTCCAGTGCCTTTTGCTTAATGGAGACACCAGGAACGCTCCGCAACAGATGCTCCAAATAAACACTAACATTCAAGTCCTCCACCAAAAGTTTCGGGTATAAAGCTTCGTAACAGATCAAAAACCTGTCAAAAAATTCACACAACGACTAAGCAGAAAATATTCGGGAGAGGAAAACTCCACTTACGAATTGATTGGCATAGCGTGGCCATGTTGCTTGAGTAGTTCGATGATATGGTCCTTAAAAATGGCCAAACCAAATGACGTGCGATACAAGCTGCTTGGATTATACTGCTTCTTTGGGAACGCTTTGTGTTTATCCAAACCAGCACAATGGGTTTCACAATAACCTTTTTCAGGCGAGGCTTGCCCTACAGACATCCAGCAAATAAATTAATACGCTCAACTACATTTTCCATCACGAAAGGCCGCAGCAGTCACTGCAATCAAAGCGATTCCGGCACCGCGAAGGCGCACCCATTTTCTCCCATCATGCCCAAATCCTCCACAATACTGGACATTTTTCGAATCGTTCGCAAGTCCAAGATTACATCGTGTCTACAAGAATGATTCTAACACTGCCCAGTTCGAACACAGACCGGCAAAAAAGCGCTTACTCCAACTCAAAGTATCTGACCAAATCCATATAAGCCATCTCGTCCTTTTGTGGATTTTAAAAATCTCCACGATAGAGCGCCTGGACAAAAGTCAACTATTATGAACACACAGCCACGTTTTAACGATTAGTTTCATCACTGACTGCACAATCTCCGGGACCGGCAGACTAGGATCATCCAGAGATGCCGACAATCGTTTTCCACCAAAGACAGTATTGTTGGCGAAATTCAACAACTTTTCCACATTATCTTTGCCCAGCACAATAACATGCGCAAACGCTAAACCCAGCTGATCCAGGTAAACGGAAACGAAGGAAATCTACGGAGGAAACCCTTTGTATACGACAAACCAATACGGAGTACGATAACTCATGTCAAGCTTACAGGAACAACTGGTTCCAAAAGTTGCATCAACTTCGCGCACAGCACATCCCGATCCGTAGTAACATCCAGATTAGTCACGTACACATCTGTTGCAGTCTTATCGGATGTATCCACCAGATGCTTCACAGGAGCGCTTTCAGCTATCAACAATCAGAACCCGTGAACCATGGGAAAACAAACTGAAAGCACTTTCCTACCTATGCTCAATTCCGGAACGGGAGCATTGTCTTTAGTGGTTTTTACAGAAACTCTTGGTGGGGTGGTTGGCGTTGACTCGACCTTGTTCGAATCCGACACCGCTAAATCTTTCAGTTCAGCCGCCAAACGCCGCTCCTGATCTTGCAAGATGAAACGCTGCATACCCGAGAGCTTGCCCTTCTTCAAAACCGACGTCGGCACTGTCGGAGCCGCAGCGGTGCGCGCATCGAAAACAATATGCGGCGGTTTATGGGAATTATTACTCCCGTTGATGGAAGACTTGGTAGGCCGCGTGGTCGGTGGTAGCGGAGCGGGATCAACGGGCGCCGAATTCAACCCTGGCATCCCATCCGGAAGGATAGGAGCTTCATACTGTATGGAAGAATCGGACGGAATAGACGGGTAGGCGCTCAAACCAAATCGCAGTCGGCCTTTCGAAGGCAGGCATGGATCGGTGTAGGACGGATGCAGTGACGGCTGTACTGGTGGGTAAACACGGCCAAATTCAGAAGGACGATAGGCCCGCACTTCCGACGGGTGATCCTCTCTGTACAGAGACGAACCAGGTCGGTACGATGTCTGCAGTTTACTGCCAAAACAATCCTCAAGATGCATTCCATGCTTCAACCTGCCACACACATTGAATGCACAACGCTAGAATGGTAATAATGAATTTTGGTGACACAGTTATAAATATCATTAAAAAGAAATACCTAATTCTAGGAAAAGAAATACTCAGCAAATTTAATCAAGGTGCCTTTTGGCATGTACGGCGTTTTTGGAAAGGCAAGAAAGCTTAAATGCAATCGATTCCCCAATTACTGCGAAAACTGCAGTACGAGTTTTGGCAATTCCGATATTCACAAAATCATTACGAAATACGAAAGAAATACCAACTGTGCGTTTTATTTTTTTCTCATACCGCTTAGCATAACTGATGGAAGAACATGTGGCGATGGCGTACGGGTTGAATCCACTCATCCTCAGATCAATGTTACCACCATAGCTGCTGGACAGGTTCTTCAATCGCGAGTAAACGTGCTCATAAGTGCGCCCCGGAGGAATGCCTCGGATAATAACTTGTCTATCTTCTTCCCTTTCCATGTAAAACGAAATTCAGAAATAAGCGAAATTTAAACAAAGGCACGGTTCGAAAGTATGTTTCGCAATTGGATATCAATCGTGTACCGTTTGGGCTTGAGTGGCAGGCACAGCGCCTAACCCATTCAAGAACTGTTCCCATAAATAGTGCTCATGGGCATGCATCAGCAATCCATCATTGATTTGAGGAGGATGAAAAAGGATAATGTACAGGCGATTTTTGCTGCGAAATTCGGCCAAGCAGTGTGCGAAATTTATGTCACCTGATAATTTGGACATAATGCAACCTCAGAAACCAATTAGAAAAGGGACAAGAATGCTCGTACCTGAAATCAGCACGATAACATCGGCAACATGAGCCCGAGAAACCCAGTCACGCATTTCCTGGATGAGCTGAAAATCGGCGCCGTTCTTAGCGCCAGATTCGCTGTTAGTGAGACGAATCTACGAAGCCATACACACTGCATTTTCAGGATTTGTTGAATATTATAGCGGTATCTCACATTGGCCTGATCAAATTGACGGGAAAACAAGGGATTTATCAGCTTCATTTTGACAATATCACAGCAACAGCGGAAAATCCCATACGTTCGACCCTGTCCTTCGCATAGCACTTCCCTGATCCTGGTGGCCACATCACGAGGCAGCACATTCGCGGGCAGGCGGCAGTTTTCAATGTCCCAAAAGATACGAACATTTGGAATACGCTCGCCCGCATGGGAAGGCTGGGAAGCACCGTCTGTGGGAGAAATATGGAATTATTCACACATCGTTGATCACAGTAAAAAACAATATCAACCTTCAAGTAACAGAATGCAAAAATTTTAAAAACTGCTAGGTTAAAGTAGGTTTGAACAGGTAGCGATTACTGATCGAAACAGAATTAAATGTATTACGATTCAACTGCAACCAACAACTGCTGCTGCACAGGCTGCACCTATCGAGCGAGTTGTGGATGAACAGTTACTGATGAAGTCCTTTCCACCTGTTGGATATTTTTACAACACCAACTACCAAGTAGCTCTTTCCTTAAAAATACGCACATACCGTGAAAGCCGTTAATACTGGCAGAATTTCCGTTCGTTCCGTGATGCCCATTCACAATGGCGGGATTTGACGCAGCTTTAGGAAATCCACTGAGAAGGGTCGCATTTGGAGGACTTCCATTCGCACCTCTCTGACTGAAAACCGTTGCTCCGATGATTCTCCATTATTCAGGGATACTTGATCCGATGCAGTCGCTGTTAAATGATGACATCGCAGAAAACTAAAAACTATAGTACACTGGTGAGTCACGAAAATTTGAAACAGGAAATCTTAGCGAAGCCTGCTTGCCTGTTAAAACGATAACGATAACTCTGCTCACAAAACCAGCTAGACCGACGGCCAATAATCAAGGTCTTCATCCTCGACTGTAGTAATCGATGCAGTGTCGTCCATTTCGATGCCAACGTCGTTGCCGTCGTTCTCGTCCGGGTCCACGTTCAAGTTATCATGCAACGGGTTCCAGCCGTTCAAAACTTTGTTAACATTCAGCAAAATATTCTTGCGAGCGTATCCGACAATCTTCTGCAACTCCACTGCCTCCAGACCAGCAGCATGCAGGTTCCAGTAAGTGATTGGAAAAGGATCGGCATCATTAGGCGGTGTGCTCTCTAGCTGCACTTCTGTCAGTCTCTCCGTCTAGGCGCAATTACCCGATAGATCTTCCGGTTATCAAAGTTCCAGCGCCAAACAGCACACCTTTCGCCAGTGCCCGATGAAGCCCACAGCTGTTCCCAGCCGTAGGCTTCCATCTGATCTCGCAACGATTCATTACAAAACCATCTTTTCAGCTGTTCGCCAATGACCTTACGGCGAGATGGGCATCGGAGCATATTCTCCTTCAAATCCTTCACTTTTACTCTGCCTGCTTTACTTTCATGAATCCAGACAGGTATAGCTTCGGCTTGCTGGTGGACGCCATGTGGAGAAAACACAATAGCGAAATCCGCCGTTTCTGTAGAAAACCAAGATCTGATTCAAGTAAAGAGAATATGGTGGATTCATAACACTTACTGAAATGCTAATAGCTTACCCAAAGAAGGGCCGTAATGGTATTGTGAAACAACTCCAAGCAAGGGATGAGGAATACCGCCGCCGTCCTGCTGTGCCACAATCCCGTTCAAATAATTTAGAAAGTAACCATTCACAAATTTCTCTCGTGTGGCTGTAGCGAGCTTCGGTTGGAACGCTAGAGCATTCTGTGGCACCACCAGCTGATCCATAGTGAAACTGGAGAAAGCTGGCACCTATAACGTAAACTTGAATCACTAGGGAATCCCGCTTAGGTCCGCTGTTGGGAACAGAGAAATCGATCAGCCAACCACTCCACGAACCACGGCCAAACCTCGAAGGCAGCTCACAAACCAGCTCACAAGCAACGGAAGAATCAGCTCTCTATAATTCGAATGCAAATTTTAAACAATAAAACTGCAAACATGAGAATAAGAACATATTTACGGTACTTGTAACTTGATGATTCAAAAAGTGATTTAAAAATTCAAAATTCATCATCGTTTCGGTTCTTCCAGTTTGTCACTTGCCATCCAACCACAAGTTACAACCACCATGAAAGAAAGTTACTTACGTAAAATGAATTGATATGGACTGTATAGTGCAGGCTCGTATGTACGGTAAGTAAGTGGAACTTCGGAAATTTAATAATTATACAGTAATAATATCACTAATATCTATATTAATTTCAACTTTCTTTTAAGAATGTAAGACGAACCTTTTTCAACTTTGAGAGTGGAAGATCAGTGATCACCAATGAGTTTTGTACTTAGCAGAAGTTTTCTTGAATAGGATTGCAAAATGCATAAACCGGACGGGGAGGATGGATTTCAAAATATTTCTCAGAAATGTAAGCAGTATGAGTAGCCACACTCGATACGGACTGGATGGCGGATGCAGTAGATTTGGTTTACAGAAAATTCGACACCAACATTCCTGAAACATTTCAGGCTGAAATTTTCGTACTTCGTACTTACTGGTGTTGATCAGCAGTAACTGCTACAAAATTATTGTGAAGAGTTTTGGGAATCAGACGAAGCGAGTCTTTGGCTAGAATTTTTGTACTGATCTGTGATCTCCTCTACTTTCAGTTTTGATGCTTCTGTCGAACTACGGATGGTTTATTGTGGGAGCCATCGCTGTTTATATCATGTTTTGGGATAGGCTGGTTCAGTACTGGAGAAATTCGTTGAAGCAAGGTGAGAAGCCCTAAATGAACAGAGCGATGTCTCTTTCTACTTTCGTCGCTGCAAGTGTAGTGAAAAGAAAACAGTGGCACTTAACTCACCGTAACTGATAAGTTAATAAGTAATTTACAGTTTACTGCCCATTGGCATGAGGAAGGAAGGATAGAACAGTATAACTTATGTACGTTATACGTACAATATCCGAATTATTACTCTAGTCTAAGTAAGTAGTGATTGTTCCGTTATTAACTGTGAAATCGCTAGAACTTTGTATCAATGTTCTCATGCTGAAATTTTCTGTAGATGATGACATCGGTTGGGGAATGAAAAATGAAGAAGGTCTTCAGGAAGCACGGAAAAAGATGCAAGAGCGGATAGACGTGCTCGCACAGGAACACGCAGAGCAAATGAAACAGGTGAGAAATGTGAAAATCTTGCAGCCATAATTATCGGCTGCTGCTAAAAACGCACTTTGTTATTGTGTGACAAAACTATGTTAATAATGAAGCAAATGACAGGTTAGTAATTCGCTTGGATTTGCGAGTTTTGAGAGAAATTGCTGTGAAATTACAGGACGTAACTACAGTTGCTCAGATGGCGACTGCGTGGCGCGAAAATCATTCGGAGTTAGCAATTAGTAGAGTACTTAATTTGTATTTTGTACTACTTAAGCTGTTATAAATCAATATTTAATCAAATTGCGCACTCTGACATGAACATATTGCTCCGCTTTGTCAAGTACTGTTATGTTTAGATGGAGGCCGAAAAACGACAGCAACGTCTTGAAGAACTGGAAGAGAAAGCGCCTTCCCATGGCCATGGTCACCGGCTGGGTGACGGAAAAGCAGCTAATCCACCGGTTACGAGAAGGACCACTTCCGGTCGCGCTCGACTGCGAGACGACACGTACAATCCTCTATCTGGCTCCGGAGGAGGGGGCGGTTTTCGTTCATCCCGCAACTGTGGCCCTCGCGGTGGATGAGGTTAAGGATCCCAAGCCCCGTCTGGGGACTTGGATTGGGGAAGTGTCGCTTATACCCACGGCCGTTCTACAATGAAGTGATTCTGCGAAAAGGTCTAATGCCGGGAGATTCACTGATGATGAGCGGAAACTGGGCGTAGTGTGGCTTTCCAAAGACAACTGATCTTGTCTTTCATGGAAGTTCGGCTTAAGATCAAAATAGAGAATTGTGTGGTTTGCGAAAATGGCTACGTAAGCAGTATAAATGATTTTACACTATTTTAGCAGATTTCAAGTTGTTTCGGCACATAATTCGCTTTCGTGCGCAGCTGCTAGTGCTACCACTGCGGTTATTAAACTTTGTCTTTTTTCACGTTTTGCTGAGGGTATCTGACAAAGGTGTAAATGCAGCGTTGTAATTAACGTATAAACCTTGCAAGTGATTACTTCTGCAGATACGTACAGTACTTCAAATATACACTATACACCGACGAATAATACACCATTTGCAACCTTTGGCAAAAATCATCAGTTGATGAAGTATAACTGCATTTCAGCAGCCGGTAGCGACTCACCGTTCAGTTTTATATGCTGAATATTTGCCAAATTCAATATTATTGTAACAGCAGCCGGTTTGACTGCTGTTCTAGTGGGTTGGTTAATCCACCTTACCACGATCTGTCGGCTGTTAGTGTGGGAAAGGCTGGCACGGTCGGCAGCGATGCTGACCGGAAGCTGACTACCGTTTACATGGTGGCAATGATGGGAGATGCACGATCATCCCATGGCGATTACGCAACACAACACAAGGTCATCGCATGAGTTTATTAGCAAGTACACTAGCAAGATTCGGCGAGCAACGCAAGCTGAGGAGCAAGACGCATAAGCGTTGAGCAAGAAGCGCGGAAGGCGCGTTAGCAAGATTCGGAGCAAGCTGCAGCAAGACTAATTTCAAGATGTTTCTGACCGTGAGATGCGGTCGGTGAAAGTAGGAAAACTAGGATTCTGATCCTCATAACACAACAACCAATAAACGGTAGAGAAAGGCAATTAACACTCCTACTGGCGGTACATCTAATTTCTATCGCTACATCCCTCACGGTAGCGATGAGATATACTTGTCTCATCAAGATAATATTAGGGAGTGTTAATTAAAAATAGTAAAAAATTGAAATTAATTTAGAAAGGTTTAAGAAGTTAGCTGTAGGAGTCCAGTAATGGTCCTGAAGTAAACGTGGCGGATCCAAAGTTGTTCCGTTAATCTTCCACGGAAATGGCTAATGTTAGGCGATCGGGATTCTGCGATCGAGGTGGACGGTGGCGGGCTGGTGTGGCGTGTATGGGAATGTGTCCCTCACGGTATCCGAAAATTTTCCGCTTGTATCCGGTGGCATGGTGTAGCACGGAAATGGCGCAGTAATGATGACATGGGTGCATTTGCAGTTTTAATTTTATGCACATTTGGGATTGTGACGAAATCATAGCCGTTTTGTGGTGTACCGGCTTTCTCCGTTTTAATGTTTTCCATTGTACAACTGGTTAAATCGCATGCCGGTTGCGGTTTGTAGGGATCATTTACCGGCGATTCAGAATCGGAAGGTGAGATGCATGAATCAGAGGAAGTGCAGCTGGATGGCGTTAGCACTTCAGGTCTTGTTGTATTCAGCGGTGATAACGATGCTTTCGAATTAACTTTTCGCAACGTCGGCTGGTCGCGGCGAGACGGCGAAGCGGTCACGGTGGCATCCATTGTGTCCACTGTAGACTTTATGATGGAAAGTGGCGGCGGGTTGTTCCTGGTGCCGGCGAGCGGTGTAGGGCTTAATGTTTCCAAAGGTTCTGGTGTTGACGTAGTGGGCTGATACTGTGAGTCATTGTTGTAACTTGGACTCGCACTGGAAGAGTGACGGCGATCAGTTTTAATGTACGGTGTCCGAGGAATTAGCGGTTCGGACACATTGAAATGCACAGTCGGCATCCGTACACGCTGGCCTAATGTTCGTGTACTTCGTGGTGTAGTGGCATCCCGTTGAGGGTTATATAATTTAACTTCGGCTTCAGTGTAGCAGACAGGTGGAACGTAGTCACGTCCATATGGACCTCCTTTTCCGTAACGTCTCATCCGTTTTCCTTGAGCGGTGAACCAAAAGTCGTCTCCATATTTCCAGAGCATGTAGGAGATGTAGTCGTCATATGCAGTTTGTACTCTGGCTTTGACATGGTCCGGGCATATGCGTTGAATACTGTATTTATCGTCGTAGTCGGCTTCTGTGCATTCTCGATATGAATGCAGGAAATCTTTGCATTTCGGGCAAAATAGCTTTCCATTCTTCAGTCTGTAGCTGTCGAAGTCGATATGTCGAGGATGGATTCTTCGGTAATTTTGGGAACAGTTCCTTTGCTTTGGAGTGTGGTGCTCGTATCGATAGTCGTCGGCGTCGCGGTAACGGTCAAAACCACGTTCCATTGTAATATTTTGCTGGTCAGGTGCATAGTGGCGTTGTGCACGTACTGACCGATGACTATTGTAGTCGTAGTCATCATCCCGTTGGTTAGCCGTTGTAATCTCAACCGGGTCTGGTGGTAAACGAGATTGTTCTTTATGCTCAAACTTGTCTAATCTTATGAGCATTAACCGTATTTTGTGAACAGTGTTCAAACCGATCATAAATTTTCGGTGTTTTAATTTGTAGTCGAATGCACGGTGTATTTCTTCGACTTTTTGTGCTTCCGGCATGTCAGGATTAATTTCATAGAATAATTTCTCCATTTCATTAAAGAAATCATTAATATCGGTACCGTCTGTGTACTTTTTGCAACGCAGCAGTTTTAATTTGGTTGCTCTATAATCTTCCAGTTCATTTAATGTAGGTTCTGTTGAAACAGCTGATAATATGCGTGCACTGTGCACGTTTAATTTACCGGCGTTAATTTTACTCGTACTCGTATTATCAATATGGGCGCGGTGTGTATGCGCAGATAATTTCGCTTCCGTTGATGCGCATGCAGTGCTATCTGTGCGTGCTTCTGTGGTGGGCTGCTTAAGCCACTGCATAAAGTTGGCTGCGTGCTGGGCAGCGGATAGCTGCGCAATGACTGAGTTGTCGTCAGTCTGCTGAATGCATGATAGAGCAGCACGGCGGATCTGCATAAGCACTGCGTTATCCAGAAAGTAGCTTTCCTCTTCCGTTAGCGAACGACTGAGATTTTGGTACTTCTCTCTATACAGCTCAGGTTCACAGGGAAGAGACTGTAAGATGCTACGCTGCACTAGCCATTCAGTGGTCTGTTCTGTCTCGCTCACTGTGCTGGAAGCAGGGGAACTTGCAGGCACGGGTTGTGGCTGTGTACTGTCTGTGCCTGTGACTACGGCTGTCTGACTGCCCACGGGAAGAGTGTGCAAGGAAATCTCTCGGTGTGCCTGCTTTGGGTCATCAGTTGTTGCTTGTAACAGATGCTGCTGCACACTTGACAATGGAATATTATTTGCCGATATGTATGCAGATAATTTTTCCACAAAATGCTGTCTCTTCTTCGCTTTGTTAATGTTTAGACTGAATTGTTCGCTAAGCCAGCGCAGCTCTGACTTTGACGAACAGTTCAGAAGAGACAGGAGAAGAATCTTCTCTGAAGATTCCATGGATCTGCTGGAGCGGAACGCTTAATGCTTTCCCATGGAGAAAAGATCTGTCTGTGCTCTTACAGTCTCATCGGATGCGGGAACACAATGGCATTCAATAATTTTGCTACAGTATGTACTGTATATATGTACTGTAGACAAAGGACAGGGTGTGGCAAAATTATCGGCAATGACAAAATAATATGATTTCCAACAATTTTTTAAGAGCCAAACAGTTACAGTAATCAATCTATTCGCAATTTTAATTTAGTAAATAATTTCGCTAATGTACTTTCGAAATTTTATGTTAATATTTTTGCACAAAAAGCCACTCAGAAAGTTATGTACGATTATGCAAAAAAACAGCGGCAAAATGGGAATTATGCAATTCAAATGTCTAATTTGGCCAGAATTATACACTAAAATCGAAAATTCGCAATAGTGCTACCGATGATTACAAAAAAGTAACAACTCACTGAACGACAACTGGCAAAATGATGGCGTCGGTCGGCTTCCTGGTATCCTGTCGGGTTGGTTCGGAAACCAGGAGCGCCATGTAACAGCAGCCGGTTTGACTGCTGTTCTAGTGGGTTGGTTAATCCACCTTACCACGATCTGTCGGCTGTTAGTGTGGGAAAGGCTGGCACGGTCGGCAGCGATGCTGACCGGAAGCTGACTACCGTTTACATGGTGGCAATGATGGGAGATGCACGATCATCCCATGGCGATTACGCAACACAACACAAGGTCATCGCATGAGTTTATTAGCAAGTACACTAGCAAGATTCGGCGAGCAACGCAAGCTGAGGAGCAAGACGCATAAGCGTTGAGCAAGAAGCGCGGAAGGCGCGTTAGCAAGATTCGGAGCAAGCTGCAGCAAGACTAATTTCAAGATGTTTCTGACCGTGAGATGCGGTCGGTGAAAGTAGGAAAACTAGGATTCTGATCCTCATAACACAACAACCAATAAACGGTAGAGAAAGGCAATTAACACTCCTACTGGCGGTACATCTAATTTCTATCGCTACATTATCGTTCTATATTATGCTCTACATTTGCCAAATTCCCGAGAGTGTGGGACGCGAGAGTATACTACAGTACTTAGCGTGTGAACATGACAAACACTGACTCCTAAAATTTATGTCCAGAAAAAAATAACTAGGTCCTTCAAAAATTGCCGAACACGGGAACTGTTCCTTGGTAGCTTCGTCGATCCCGTTCTCTTGCTGACCACAATGAAAATCTATGAGTCATGACTATGTTCTGGATTTGTCATCGACGCTCGGGAAACAGGGATCCAGTTGTTTCCATTTCATAGCTGGCTCATGCGGTGACTTCCAACTCCGCCCGGCATGACGTCAAGGTTATAAAAGAGTCGCACAGTACGAGTACAGCCAGTGCAAAGTGCATTCGGTGCATCGGTATTGATCGTTTGAATCAGTAGGATAAGCCCGCCTTTGAAATCACAGTAGCACGCTCGCACCCTGTATGGCCTCGGTTTTCAGTCGTGCCAGTATACGGTATAAAAACGAGAGCCGCCGGGTTTAAGTGGACAAACGAAAGCGATTTGCCAATGGTAACAAGATCCAGCATCCAACATAGCTAGCGAGAGCAGCAAGGAAACTCCAACATGATGAAGCACATACGCAAGCGAAAGCGACTCATATTTTATCATTGTACGAGTTCAATAATCATTAAAAACTCTGGATTCGAGCTACTCTGACACATCTCGCCGTATCTCGTCTTTCCATTTTTTGCCGAACTTTCTCAGCGCTCCTGATAAAGGCGAACTTAAGGCCTCCCGCGGAGTTGGATGCCGAAGCAATGCATGGATTTCAGTGGACCATGCATCGATGCTGCATTTTCATTGTCATTTCGCACTACATGACGAATTTTAGCGCAAAAGGTAAGGCAAATCTCGTGGTTCTCTTATTAAATTGGCCTTAAAGAAATAGTATGATAGTCCGTTGTGAGAAGCTGAGATAAGCAATAATCAGCGTCTTTGTTTGTTTTTGTTACAATATTTTTGCGATACGGTTTTCTTGTAACTACAGTTATTAGAAGTGAACGGTATTCACAACTAACACGATAGGAATAATTGTTGTTTATCATGCGGGCTACCGGTGATGAGAGTGAATGGCGAAATGCCAGTTCATTTTGTCGAGATTCATTTTGTTTTGTCTGTGGACTCTGGACAGCTGTGCGAAGTCCACGCACTGCGATCAGCTGTACAGCAACTGTCTGTACATATCGGTGTTTGAGGTCATCAGCACGTGATCGCAGCGGGTCAGTATGACCAGACAAAGGGTGCACGTATGAACTGAGATGCACTTTATGGTATCCAATACTGACGGGGTTATGATCGTTGTGCTAAACCGAATTTTCTCTATTAGAAAATCTCGCCGTTATGGTCCAATAAGTTTAACTGAAACTAGTGTTTTTATCCCTGCGCTTTATCAGTTTGCCTTCCTCATGCTGCTGTAGAACGTGCTGCGTAGGTCTAGTTTCGGAAACAAGTAAGTACAGTCAAACGCCTGCCACATGACGGTTGTAACGGAAGGCGAGCAGTAACCTTGTCACCGATTTGAAACATTTTTCGCTGATTGTGAGCTGCAAAGTGAGTGTGTGTAGTCGGCTCGGCGCATTTTCTACAGTGCAACAATTAACTGGACTACCCACTTGAAACCAGCATTTGTGTTTGACTTGGCGATTTTTTTATTGCAGACAGTGTGGTGATTGTGTGAACAAGAACGAGTTGTGTCTTGTCGTGTAAAAGAGAGAAAAACCGACGAGAATAATATCCAGCCGTGTGGGAGATTTCCGCCGTCTGCCATGGAGCTGAATGGAGCCCCACCGGCACTCATTTCCGACAGCAAAACCGACCCGGCCGTACCATCCATTGCCTACAATAACGAGAAATCCGAAATCATGCCCCTGGCCAAGGTGGCGAACGGGCATGGGAATTCGGCCATCTTCTCCGGGGAACGACTCCGGCATCTGCCACGCCGTCCCGCCGTCGACATTGAATTCCATGATGTAACGTATTCCGTTAAGGAGCCGGGATGCCGTAAAAAAGGTAAAGGACGCTGCTGTTAGCCCGAGTACTTGTAGGCCGTTTTTAAATGCCGATTGGCGCTATAGAAATAGGACGGTATTGTTCTCTGATCTGAAAATAGCGTTTGATTGCTGTTGAGCTTCTGTGTAAACATGGAGCCGGGTCCGATCGCGGCGATGCTTTCCGCATGAATGGGAGGGAGTGGTGGAAATGGTCAGGGCTGCAGTTGCTCTGTCTGTGTGTGCCAGTCAGACATCTGCTCTTTCGATATTCATGTATGACTCAAATAATTTATTCCATTCTGCTGACCATGGTAATTCTGATTAATTTGCATCCGGAAATTCGAATTAATTTCTTCGACACGAATAAAACGTTTCTGCAAAATCCCGTTTTAAAGTTTTTTTTTGGTTTTACCCTGGAAAATTATGGAAGTACTAAACCGTGTAAAATTTTCTTTGAATTTGTCAGAAAGTGCTGCAGTGCTGCGGTATCAAATGTGTACATCGATTTATTTTGAGGCTGAATTTCATCCCTTTGTGTTATCCCTAGGCTGGTTGCTATCCGATTATGTACTTATACGTTTCCACTATTTTTCTGTGCTCGACCTTTCTGTAACCCGGCGCTAATAACAACGGTCAGTTCCTTTGTGCGCCGGTGTGCATGAAAAGGTGTATTTACCATGGGAACATAGTGCATACGTGAAAACAATGCGGCTCTACGCTGACGCAGCTGAAGAATTCAGATATTGTTAAAGTTATTGGATTCTACCTGAAAAGTATGTCCGGTGATATTATTGTTGGTATTCTGCCGTAGATTTATCATTTACGGGCTTTGGGGAAAGTTAGGTATTAACAGCTGATGCAGTAGCTGCATCCAAAAATTTTGACTACTTTTTTTGGGTTTTCCCTGCGAACGGCAACGTATGTACGCATTATCAATTTTAGTGCTGAAAAATTTATATGGACGCCGTTGCAGTGTTTAGAAACGTATTCATAATTTGCCGGAATTGCTTGCTTCGGGTTAGGTTTGGTTGAGTAAGTGTGAATGTGATTCACGTTTTGATTTTTTCCCGGCTAATGGCAACAAAGTTGAAAACGAGGGACGGTATCGTGACTTCTAGAAAAATATTTTCTGATGACAATGACTTATCAACAAGACATGTAGAGTGCAAGTATGGGTTTGCCAAGAAGGTTGCCTAATCTTATCACGAGTGCATGTACTCTTTATTTCTTGCATATTCCGTATTGTTGCTAATATTTGGACTTCGACGGGTTGTAGGGCTGGATGGTTGGCCTGGTCAAAACGCTGCATTTGCACTAATGATCAATGTACGTCACTGTACCGATATCTGTACAGGCCAAAAATAAAACAAGAAAATATTTTTAAATTTTGGCAACGTTATGGCGCAGACGCCGAGCATTAAGAGGTCGCGTCAGAGAAATAGTCAGTTGATTTTGCTGTTGCAAGTGTACAATTTTGTAGGATGGTGCGGATATTATGGTAGTCGAAAGCGGCGCAATTTGTGTCCAGTTGCGGTTTTTGTATCAACAGAGAAATGGAAGGAGAAATCGTTTACATAGTTAGACATTGAAAACAATTTGACGCCTTGAAAAACACCGATCAGATTACGACCTATCTTTCTGAATGAAAATGAAAATCCAGTTGCCGTTTTTGCTCCATCTGCTCGTTCTCATTTCTTGAGCTGTTCAGTAAGCGATGTCACCCGGCTGGAGATTGAAAGGGTAGTATTTCTTTTTATGCGAAACGAGAACACTTTCTAGCACGAAACACGGCATATAGCGAGCCCGGTGTTTGTGCACTGTAAACGCTTTCTTCTCAATTGCCAGCGTTTCCGGCCGTATTGATTTTTCATGAATGACTAAACAGGGTGGTAAGGCATGATTTTCAGTTGCACAACGGTGTTTGGCCACGTGCTTGATACAGGGAGGGCGAGCATTTCCGGCTGCTGGGTGTGTGTGTACCGAATGTACTTTGTTGGAAGTAGTCGATGTATTTTCAGCTGATGTTGAAAGTCTACCCAATTAAAAATGCTCTTTCGGCTCATCCATCAGACAGTTCATGGACGTGTGCGCTGCCACTGTGCAGTACTTCGATCCCGGGAAGCAGAAAGAGATTGCGGTTAGGGAAGTGTACAGTAATATCAGGATCCTTGTTAGTCATCCAGGGATGGGATGACGTTTGGACGTCATGAATTCAGAATTTATTTGACTCGGATGCTCTCCTGTCTTTATAAAATCGGTGAAACGACGATATTGCTTGAAATTTATAGCTTATATTGACTCATTGGATTTTTCGAATGGTTCTGTTAGGTGGTTACGAGATACGGGCTACGATAATATGTAATTATTTTTACATAGATGCTACTGTTTCCCTGAATTAGAGCAGGTGCAGATCAAGCAGTAGGCAGTAGTGTAAATTAAACGATAATAATTTAGTGCAGAATTTTTTTATTTTATGATTGATTGTTCGCTTCCGTCGGCACGGCCTCGATTGTTGAAACTGAAATCTGGGGGAAACCGAGCAACTAAGCATATTTATCACATTGTTTGAATTCGGTATGCGTATGTTTTCCTACGATGGTTCGAAGTTTATTTTCGGTAATCTCATTTCCTTCTCACAAATCACACTCATAGTTCGCAGGAATGCAGTAGAAATACAATGCGAACCTTCAGACCGGTTAATGCTTACGTAAAGTGCATTAGGTGCAAGTTGCGACATCAAACGATTATGTTGCCGGCTGCATTCCGGTCGAAAAAAATTCTTATATGATCGAATCGGCTGACTTGATGGCGCGCAACTGTTATATGGGAATTAATTGCTTTCAAATGCTTGAACATCAGGGACACATATTTCGTAATTTTCATGCGCTGTTGTATCTCTGTAGGTCGATTTAACGCGGTCGTTAAAATCACCAGTCAGTGTTTTATGTTAAGTATCAAACGTTTGGCTGCTTGTAACGGTCGGAAAACACTTAAACGGTAGCTGTTGAAACTTTGTAAATATCTTTTCCGCTAGATGCAGTACAAGTACAGCTGTAAGTAATTGAGCGGCGCAAAGGAGCTGCGCGCAAGCTCGGCTGCTTCCGCCCTCCAGCGAAAATTGGGACCGGAAATAGCTTTGTAGGAATTTTAAACCGTCTCAGTTACTCCATTCGACTGAACCGACCCAACAAAATTTACCTAATTGGAACTAGTTTAGGAAAAAACAAGCCGCTTCGATGAAGCGGGAAAGAAATAATTATGACCCTTGAGTTCTACATTTTCCATTTTACGCGTGTATGTATTATCAGTTAAAAGTTGTATGATGACAGAAAGGTGCCATTTTAGGGGGCTTTGGAAAATTAACAGATTTTTTAAACCGATTACATAAGAGCGCTAATATTGCAGCGGTAATTCACATTGACAGTGCATTGTATCTGATCAATATTTTGTGTTACGTGAGAGATTTATGAATGTCACAGGGAAGCCTGAACTCCCACTGTAGTCATTTGTTGGTTCTTTTGTAGGCTTTAAAACCATCCTGAAGGGTATAAGTGGAAAGATCCGCTCGGGAGAGTTAACGGCCATCATGGGACCGAGTGGTGCCGGTAAATCGACATTGATGAATATTCTGGCTGGTTACAAGTGAGTCTAAGTTTTCTACTGCGAGCTTTCCTCACGCGACCATGCGCCTAATGTTAAAATGGATACGCCTGATCTCCTGTGAAGTTAGTAGAGTCGGAACTGAATACGTGTGGGGTTTTTTATAGAACACGAGCACTAAGCGGCCGGATCTACATCAACGGACAGGAACGTGATCTGCGGGCCTTCCGCAAAATGTCCTGCTACATTATGCAGGATGATCAGTTACTGCCGCATTTAACCGCACGTGAGGCGCTTATGATCAGTGCGCAGTTGAAAATGGACGAAAAGTACACACTGGAGTATAGGAAAGCAGCGGTACGTAGTTGAAATACATTTTATCTAATAAACCTAGACATTTGATTAATAAAATCGAACGTTCGTGGAGGTTTTTTTACCATTAGAGCTTTTATATAAACAGTAACATAAAAGAAAATAATTCCGTTTTCGTACTTTTTAAAGATTAAATTGTTTTTCGTTAGTGTAATGAAATTAAAAATGTGTCTCGCCAAACTGAGACGCGCTGAATCGATAAAAATGTGAGGCCAGTATTCGAGGGTTCCCAAAACGATTTTATACTTTGATTTCTGCGAATGTTTTTAATGGTGTTAAAGCACTTGGCGGTGCATTCGGGAACTGGACCATGACCTGGTGCAATTTCTGACACCAGGAAGTAGACGGGTGTTATATAACGCAACAAGACTCGGTTCATGACCTTTGCTCCTGGTCTGGATTGTGGGGTGACAGACGGTTCACACGTGGCGTTACAGAGCATAATAACCAATTTCGAAGTTTTTCTTATCTTATTTCTTAATTTATTATTTTATAAAACAATTTTTACCAACATTTTTCTGTTAGCAGGACACTTTTATCACGCAGTAAGCTCGGAAAAAGTTATCATTTAACAAAAAAAATATCTTACACAGGTGAAAGACATTCTGGATACATTGGGATTGATGGAATGCGCCGATACCGAAACGTCGAAATTGTCCGGCGGACAACGAAAACGTTTGGCAATTGCTCAAGAATTAGTGAATAATCCTCCGGTGATGTTCTTCGATGAACCGACTAGGTAATTAATGCATTACGAGTTTTTTTTTAAAATGTACAAGCAAATACAGTACAATGCACATGTTGGAATCCCTACTGCGTGAATTTACTTGTCAAGTTTGTTTGAACGCCGCCTTTTTTGCAGTGGTTTGGACAGCTCATCCTGTTTCCAGTGTGTTAATCTGCTGAAGTACCTAACGCAAATTCAAGGTGGTCGTACGATCGTGTGCACCATCCACCAGCCGAGTGCCAAAATTTTCGAGATGTTTGATAAGGTAAGGTTGCCGCCAACTGAACTGCAGATCCGTTTTTGTGCCAAGGCAGTAGATTCCACTGAATACGGTGGAACTTTGCCCGAAAGACATCGTAAGGTTTCTTCACAAGGTTTTTTCTGCTTTACAGTTGTACATGATGACCGGTGGACAGTGCCTGTATGACGGACGAACCGACCTTGTTGTACCATTCCTTAACACGTTCAATTTGAAGTGCCCTTCTTATCACAATCCAGCAGATTATCGTAAGCATTTATTTTCATCCGCAAGAAAATCACAACTCTTAATTAGGTAAATGATTAATTCTTGTCTGTTTTTTGATAGTGATGGAAATTGCATGTGGTGATTATGGTGAACGCACAATTGAAACCCTGGTGATTGCCGTGGCGAAGGGAGCTTCGGCGGAATTCGATGAACGCAATAAGTTCAAATATGCCAAGAAGCCGCTGACCGATAAGCCGGCCGCCCTGCGCGCCATCGATGTGCGCGGGGAGTTGTGTACGTGCCAGGAACCGACCTGCCGGTGTCCGCAGTCGCGTGCTTCCCGCATGTTCAACGCGGACATTGATCATCAGAGTGTGCTGGCACACGTGAACCATGAATCGGAGAATCCCTATGCCAACCCGTCGGATGTGCACGTGGAAGTGGTTGGATCAAATGGCCATGTTCCGCCGAGTGCTGGCTTGCTGGGCGATGATAATCAGTCGGCTATTGTGGAGTGTCATACATTCGCCACCAGCTGCTTGACGCAGTTCCGGGTGTTATTTGTGCGCACATTTAAATCCATCATTCGTGATACGGTGAGCGCAGTGTTTTGAGAAAATAAGTTTGTATATGTCGTGTTTACTAGTAACATACATCTTTCTGTTGCTTTTGTATAATTTTATAACTTTGTTATTTTCTGAATCTTGCGGCTCTGTTTAGGTTTAATACGAAGTTTGTTTATTTTTAGACATTAACCCGACTCCGCCTGTTTTCCCACTTGTCCATTGGGGTGTTGATCGGCCTGCTGTACATGCGCTTGGGAGAAGACGGCAGTAAAGTGTTCTTCAACGCCGGATGCCTTTTCTTTTCCATGTTGTTCCTGATGTTTACGGCTTTGATGCCGACCGTGATGACATGTAAGGGGAAAATCGATGTGACAGACGCGAGTGTTTGCGGTCGGCTAAATTGTATTTGTATTCCTCTCACAGTTCCCCTGGAAATGGGCGTGTTCGTGCGGGAACATCTCAATTACTGGTACAGCCTCAAGGCGTATTATTTCGCGAAAACCATGGCGGATCTTCCGTTTCAGGTATGTTGTGTATTATGTCGGGTTTAATAATTAAAAGTGAAGGTAGAGCTATTTTGAGCGGTATTTACGTCATCTGACAGTTTTTTTCACTATCTGCGAACGGTTACTAGTGTCTAAAAATATATGCCAAGGCGACAATCGGTAGTCAATTTCAATTTGGAATTGTCCGCTGATGATGGTTGGTTGGCTTGTCGTTACCAGCTCTCATGACTCTAATGATGTTACAGATCATCTTTCCGCTTATTTATGGAAGTATCGTTTATTGGATGACGGCACAACCACCAGATTTTTTCCGGTTCGTCCTCTTCTTGACGTTCTGCACGTTGACGTCCCTTGTGGCACAGTCACTGGGGTTGGTCGTCGGGGCGGGTTTGTCGCTTGAGGTGGGTTAAGAATTCATGAACATGTCGTGAATAATAAATACAATGATATCTAATTTTGTGTTTGATGTTGCCATTTGTGCACACATAGTCCGGAGAAGTGTAAGCAGAAGTATAAATGTACCGCTTATGCGCGATTTCAAACAAGTAGATATTAGCTGTTTCGGTTCTTTTATCTCGAAGAAACTATCGAAACAAAAAGGTTTGAAGAAAATGAATTTATATACGTTCTTATCTGCAGATAATTTACCGATGATGCATTGAGAATATTGTGATTTTTTTTGAAATTTCTCTTTCGATTAATATCTGGAGGACAAACGGTTTAGTGAAGTTGATTGTGATATTTTGGTTGCAGAGCGCGGTATTTTTGGGTCCTGTAACAGCCATTCCCATCCTGTTATTCAGTGGATTCTTTGTCAGCCTGAAAATTATTCCACAATATCTCCAGTGGTTATCGTACATGTCCTATGTACGGTACAGTTTCGAAGGCTCAATGTTGGCGGTGTACGGTTTCAATCGGTCTACTATCTGCGACTCGAAGTTGTCCGCCGAAGCGCTTCTGGAAGGCGGGGTCGATCCCTGCTACTTCCGTGAAGCGAGTGACTTCTTGAATGAGATGGGTATTAATAACCACGATCAGTGGTGGTTGGATTTTATTGTATTATGCTTCTTCTTTGTGATTCTACGCTTGATCGCCTACTTTGTGCTGCGATGGAAAGTGAAGTCGTATCGGTGAAGGAAAAAGTGCCGCTGCTGTGGATATATCTATTTCCAAAGATGTTCATTGTTATATATGTACACCAAAAAATACTCTACCGATTGTGCTGGCGCTGGTGCTTTATTAAGGAAACCCATTCTATTCCACGTTAACTGCCAGTTTTCCAGTTTTTCATTGGGAAGGTTGGGCGCTGCTGTGATAAATGTTGCATCTCCTTCATATTCGATTTGCGATGTGACTATTGCCACAATTGATTGGAACTACCGGTAGACAAGCGGGCGATCATCACTGGGAAAAAACTGTTCATTTGTTAATGGGGACGGCATTACATCACCAAATCAGCAAAATCAGTATCGCCGCGGCGGATGATTGTGTGGAGTTGATTTTGTTAGTTCGTTTGTTCAAAAAAGCACCAGCTATTCGAATGCTGTATTCCTTGGCTTCTGGCTACAGTTTGACCGATTTCATGGTCTTTCGCCTGCGTTTTGATCTTTTTTTGAGAGTGCATATTATGACATTACATGTTTGCTGTTAAATATTGTTTTACGTAGACTATACTTTACTGTTCCTGTTGATTTTTGATCTGATCTATATTTAGTGTGCTTGATTTATGCTCGAGCGGTGGATTTTGTTTGCTGTTGCGTCGGTTTGGCTTTTTGTGATTCGTGATTTGTTCCTCTGGGTTATTTATTTGAAATAATAAAAATTTCAGAGACCATTATTATCCCAAACATGCGAGTGAAAAAAGAAGCAAAACTCTTGGCTAAAATTTAATCACTATTACTGCACTGGCTGGTTGTAATTCTTAACGCTTTGGATAAATGTACGCGAGAAGTCGACAACTGATCCCCAAAAATATGAACAAAACAATTTATTGGGAATAGTAAATTTCAGCAGTGGTCCTAATAGACTTCAGATTCACAAGAACCAGAATTCGGTAAAGACATTTAACAGTACAAAATTCACGTCAAGTCAATCACCTCAAAAACGGCCTAGACGGAAACGGAGATTTACTTTGATTGACGGTAGGATCATCTTTCGGATTGTAGAACAACATATCTGCTCCTGGAAGCAGTTTGGGACTGGTGATCAGCGGCTTGGCTTCGGTAAACGACAAGGTTTCCATGGACGGTAGAGAAGGAGCAACGGGGATTTTTTGTGGCAGCACAATCTTCGTCGTTAAGTCGCCTGGAGGCGGCAGAACAGGCGCGTGGGAAGATTGTTGCAACGGCGCTGTATTAGCCGGCATTCTAGGGAAAAATGCCGGAGGTCCAATTGGTCCACACGGACGATGAGCAAACGCGCCCGGGTACATGAGGGGCGCTTCCGGTCGCGGCGGCAGCATCCACGGAGCGAATGGACGCGGTGCAGCGACCGGATGGCGAGGCATCACTGGTGCCTGTGGTTTTCTGGGCATCCTGTTGACGGGAGCTGTCGCGGCTGGCTCCGCCAGGCGTTTTTTTCGTTGCAACTGTTGCTTATATTGCCGCTCGGCTTCGTCATCGGAGAACTCGACCAACTCTTCGGGAAGCTCGGAATTGTCTTCCCAGGAGGCATCAGTGCCCTTGTGCTGGCGAAGGTCGTGGACGAAGACGTAGGACGTTAGCTGAGGGTCCGCAGGGGACACGAAGGTGTCCATACCGATCTGCACATCGGTGGGAATGTTTTCGGCGGTCCGAAAGCGAACTGAGTACAGAGGACGAATTACCGGTCCGAACACATCGAATATTCGCCCTGTTCAACAAAAAAATCACCAATTATTGCAGAGTCAGAACGACATAATTATGTTGTATCTAGTTAGGACCAGAAAACCCGATAACTAAACAGACGATTGCGGAAAATAACGAAAAAATTATAAAATTCGGAATTTCGTTGAAAAATCACAGAAGACGAAAAAGGATGCAGACCTCAGATTTAAACCAGATCTCTGGTGTGTAATCAGAAAAATCCAGTATGCTGTTGTTTAATATGGATAAGCGACTGATAATGTGTGCAAACTGCAAGTATTAATAGCGTTTTCGTTTAATAATTGATTTCAGTAAATTGCAAAAGCACATCCAAATTTCCATATCAGCTGATGCGTCCAGCAACACAAACGTACCTAGTATTCTGTCACGACTAAGAAATAATAACGAGTCCAAATCCAATGGTGCTGAATCCCTGTCAGCCTCTACCACCACCACATTATCGATAATCGAGCGAACCGTTCCCATTTTCAAGAGGGTGACAGATTCCGGCAATTGTATCGTGTTCGGAGTGATTTCGGACGATTCTTCGCTAAGATGCGACGGCTTCCCCGTAACCATGTAATCGTATGGAGATAAGTGGGACGGTTCCTTAGCAGTTTCGTGGGTACTTTCCTTCCGCACGCTGTCCCTGTGGAGTCCTTCAAGGATATCGCTGTCGTCATCGGATTCGGAGGAGAGCTCCTCATTCCTGCTGGTCGGTTCCTCCTCGAGCGGTTTACTCGCAATCTGCACAGCGTGTATGTCTAGTTCCGCCATGGTCTTCTCGGCACGCTCAGCAACCTTATGCACGGTGTAAAAGCAAAACTATATCAACAAAAATACGTCGAAGTGATGAAACACAGAACACCGCATCAACGATTCAACAGCCTCTTATAATCTTATTGCAACTTTGCAAGTTACGTACATTCATGAGCGGTTCAGAGTTCAGACTGAAAACGATTTCGCAATTTATGTGCAACAACGATTTTTTGTTGTTCGTAATAAATAATGTAACCGCCCATGATGACGGTTACGATTTTTGTCATCCGTTTTGATTTTTGACTACTTTTTGGTTTATTTTCTGTATCCGGTTTCTCCGAGCATCCAATTTTAAAATTTAATAAAACTTTTTCCAGGGTAGCCTACCCTGGAGTAAGTAGTACTAAGTACAGAGTACGTAGCAATTCTTACAGCACATTTGTCCGCTGTGATACAACTGTACATCCAAAACTTACACTTTTATTGAATTTTAATACGAGATTAAAGATACACTATCTGTACTTCTAGTTCTGACAAGTAAGCTATGAAAGATTTATTTGTTGGTACAGTATTGATCCAAAAAGTGTGCGGACCGCCGGACACACAACACAATAATCAACAAGGAAATAACATTAATATAGGTACTGTATCGTAATTCTGATGCGACCCGCCACTGAAATCTTGAGGTTTTAACACGCCATCCCCAATACCACAATAATTCAAGAAATATAGATCCGACAAAAGTTGACAGCTTAAACGTGCAGTAACACCGGCGAGAATTATGCTTAATTATAACAAAACCTTTGCTGACTTAATCCAGCCCATCCAACGTATCCGGGTCAGACTGTATGCCCATTCTTCAGCAAAAAAGCCAAGGAACACATTCTTAAAGGAACATACTAGCCCATCTGAGCCAAACTCTGCAGCGCGGCGGTCTCAAATTTCCCAAACTGCCAGCCATCCGTCAGAGTAATATTGTCCATGCCCAGAGTCTCATAGAAATCATTGGCTCCCATATTGTCTCGCAGTACGGCCAACCGCATCTGATCGCATCCATCGTCCAGCGCTGTCTTGCACACCCGCCCCAACAACCGGCGCCCCACACCGTGGCGCCGGTAGGCCGGCTGCACGTAGATATCCTCCAGGTACATGGCCTTACCGCGCCATGTGGAATAAAAATGGTAGAAGATGGCATAACCCACCACCTTATTGATCTGAATATCGTGTGCCACCAGGGCAAAGTACAGGGGCTTCTGGCCCGAGGAGGGCTCGGGAAATCCGTCCTGTCGGAGGCGATCGGCGGTCATCTGGGGACCAGTGGGGAAGCCCTGATAATGGGCCAGTTCGTAGATTAGCGAGCAGATCTCCGGGCAGTCGGTGGCGACAGCGGGGCGGATTCGCATCCGCGCGCCGGCGTCCTGCTGCGGAGAGAGGCCGTACTGAGCGTTCATGAAGTCTCGGTTGAAGTCCAGAGCCAAACCCAGGGATGCCGGAACTGACGGGACGTGTTCACCCTGCGATAAAAATAATACACGTGTGAACGCGTAGTAACGCCACGCTGTCCGGAAGTGGTCTGATGAAAAAGGGAAGCGATAAACAATCGTAAACTAGCAAGTTCTGATTGAATCTTGAGGTTAACCGCATAAAATTATCGCTATAAGCCATCGATCATCTGCACCATGGTGAATGTAACATGCAGCTGCAGTCCAAATGTTAACAGTTAAGTAATACGTCGATTCCCTTAGGTAGATGTATCAGTACTCGTACATGTAGTCTTGTACAAAAAAACCTTACTACTGCTAGTGCTAAGGCATTACGATATAAGAAATAGGCCATGTCGATACTCAGATTATACCTGCTTTACATACATGCTTTAGCCTTTAAGTTTACTGCTAAATTTAAAAATGGCTTTCTTGTAAAAAAACTCTTTCCTTGTTAAGAAGTTTAAAAAATGATTTTCTGAATTTTTCTTCATTGATTTTCTCTATCTTTTTCCTCATTATATTACGCCAAAACTTAAAAACCCTTGGTCATCTAAACTGAATTCGAGCAGCACTGGCAGGGCTGCAAGCAAAGCAAGTCAATAATCAATATCGCAAAAAATCCTCAGCAGCTTCGCGGTTCGGCGCTTATTACCTTGGCAATTTCTTTCTTCTTGTTGGCTGCTTTCTTTTTCCCTTTGACAACTTTGCTCTCCTCCTCCAGCTCGCCGTTGGCGCTCGTACTGGGCGCACCGTGATTGAGAAGCCCGCCGTCAGCACTGGCTTCAGCTCCTGACGGCGGAACGAGGGCCTTGGGATTTTTGTAGTTGGACGTCAGGACCCGTTCTCCTTTGGCGTTGAAGTGCTTCAACACGTACTGCACCCATGCAACACTGTACCCGAACAGGTTGGCGATCTTGGCGTAACTCTGGTTCTCTTCGCGCATTTTATATACAGCTTTGGCCACGGCGGGAGTGATTGGTTTCGGTTTGGGCATGGTAAACGGATCAACTCAGCACGGTCAGCACTGAAAACAAGCTGGGATAAGCGCAGGTCCGCGAAAGAAACCAAGTCAACCAACTGAACTAACACTATACTGGTTTAGAGCGAAAACTTTCAGGAAATCCAAAATCATGTGTACAGTAAATAACAAAATTAAAAACAACTTTTACTTAACAAACAATTATAAACACCAGCTCCGAAAGTCCAAACCTCAAACTGCGAACTGCAAAGAAGGCAAAATCAACACGTAAACGGTAAACAGTCAGAATCTTGGTATCGCCATTTCACAAGTGAGGAGGGTATCCATTTAGGTAACCGCTCCCTCGATGTATTTACGCGTTTAGTCAGTTCATAGTCAGTTCCACTTCATTTTCCACTTCCGTGTTCCGCTTTCGGCTTTCCCACCGAAAAAAATCCGACGTAGCCAGATACGTATTTCCAGTACTTTGTCAAGGTTGAGAAACTGAACGCTTGATTTATATTGTTAATTACTAAAACAACTGGCAGGTCCGCAACTAAGAAAACTTATTAGTTCTCCGAAACGCCTTTGAGTTTAACTGGGAAAGCTTATATCTATATTGTTAGAAGAACAAATACAAATTTGTACTTGCTCTGCTAATGAATATCACAATACTGTATACACTTTATTATACTTTTTAATACAATTTCAAAACTTCAGTACACCAGGTGCGTACTAGTACTTGTAATATAAATATATCTGACTTAATAAAAAATTAAATTTACTTTGTTTGAGAGCATTTAAGGTACGTACTTAATTGTCTACGAGTATAGGTTGTTTAGTGACCCCCATGAGAATGGGACGAAAAATTTGGCCCTAATTAGTTAGTCAAAAACTTAAATGTTTCTGTTATTGTACGTATCCTGATTTGAGCGATTTTTGTATTCACATGAGACACCAATTCGCCTACACTGCATTGGAATATTCTTGCGTCACTAATATAGATACTCGTATAAGTGAATATTTCTGCCATACGTCTTCTATGACTGACGCATGCGCCCTTCTTCCGGCCTTTTGACATTTGGTACCAGCCGGACACACAAAAGACCGGAAGATTCAAAATAGCGAAGGTCAATTAGAGACTTTTATGTGGAATTCTAAAAAGCCGTTATACATTGTAAGAAGGAATGTATGCAAGAAATGTGACCTAAACGTGCAAGTCGCTGCGACAATTCAACACCTTGACCTTGGCTAGGCACGTGCCGGCAGATGCGGCACCTGCACTCCTACGGAATGCTACCGTAATTCTTTGTTCTTCGTGACGGTCGACGGTTTCAGAAATACACATTTCGCCACAAAGACCCGGAAATCTCTCTGACCTACGCATATATGAGTACTGCATAGTAGTGCATCTATAAAAATTCCTTGAATTAGGAAGGCTGAACCCTGCAAAGTTTTTGGGATTTGCAGCCGAATGTGCTTATTGCGGTCATTTACAATTTAAATCCTTACAGTAATACTTCATGCACGCGACCGTCATAATGTTAAAAATATCGCGTCCGCATGCGCGCATTGGTTAATTAACCCATGCCATACTACACGAACTCGCGGCTAATGCTTTACTTCCGTGGTCAGTAATCTGACAGGCGGAAGCCAGACGCATATAAGCGATACCATAGGAAAAGTGCATATTAGCGAAAGGGCACCGCAATATCCCAGGGTACCGGGCTGCTAAGGTGTCCGTGTTTGCATTGCCTATCACCTTCAAAATTTTGTGATAAGTGTATGATTTTCAAGTTTGGCAAACGATGCTGACAGCGTCGCGTCGAGAACTGTTATCATTTCGACGTATTGTGCGTAGCCCGGCGATTTACCATGCACGAAGGATCGCTTAGCCGCTGATTATTGTTGCCGCATACGCTGTCACTTTAAGCTCTCTCTCGGTCCGTCTCCTATACATAGCCGACACACACCGCCGTTGCGGTGCTTGGGTATTGCGTTGATGGTTGCCAAGGAAATGCTCGGCATGCAGTCATTTCCGGTGCTGCCAACTGGTTCAAAGGCCACATGCGTCATATGACGTCATGCCAGTAACCCGAGGGAGTGCTATATCAGTGGCGTTTTTCTCCTCCATTCCGGCTTCAGTCGGCTGCCTTCTCAATCCCGTCCATCATTCATAGGAACCCGTGGCATACAATTCATATCGACTGGAAGCGCGCGTAAAAAGCTGCAGCCGCGTGTAGATCTAGAGTCGACAGTCGTGTATCTGGATATCCGGCTGTACCGCGCGTACGTACGGCGCTCGTACAACCGCACACCAGTCATACACATCTTGCACTGCAGCCGCCGCACACCCGTCGCCGCTGTGCTGCGTCGGACGAGCTATCATAAAAATTATACAGCGTATTGTCGTCTCTGCAACAGCTTCCGTTGCGACGATAGGCGATCTATAGTGTGTGTGTACTGTACAGTACATGTGAGAAGTGTGTGTGTGTCTCTTCTGTGGCCGTGTTTTGTTGATGCGAAACGGGTGCGCTGATTTTGTCTCGCGCTTGTGGTTGCGATGTAAAAGTTGAATAATTAACATCCGATAAATTATCGCACATTACGCCTAATCTATCGGCTAAACGCAATCAAGCCACTTTCCGCCAGACTGCATGTTGGTACGCGTTGCGCCCATCTTCCTGGTTCCGGTGATTCGTCTCTGCATTGTGCGTGATTGTGAGAATGTGCCGTCTCCTGGCCAGGCGGCCACGATCTGCATTAGGAAGCAAAGTGTTATCCGCACTGGTCCAGCGTCCCGGTAACGGCATTTAACGCAGGGCAATCCCCTCCGAATCATGGTGATCATGAGTGCGGAAAGCGGTAAAAGCACGTCGTCCTCGACCAAAGCACCGATCCGTGTGGGATTCTACGATATCTCCCGCACACTGGGCAAGGGAAATTACGCTGTGGTGAAGCTTGCCAAGCACCGTATCACGAAAACCGAAGTAAGTTGTTTTTCCTACCGGGAAGCGTAGAAAGTAAAGATACACTGCTGATGATGTTGTGTTGCTTTCGTGTCGCTTACGCAATCGTGGCTCTTGTCGTTGCGCACAATTTGTGCGGATGACAAAAATCGATCCTATTAGCCGAGTGTTTTTTAGGTTTGTCTGTTTACCGTTTTTACCGTTTGTCTTCTTCTCGTGAGCAATCCGCCGAGTTTGTATGCTCGTGCCGGAAGCATATGTCCAGCGCTTAAACATGCCTCTAGCGTTAATTTCTTACTCGAAGCATAATCAAATCAAATCACTTACCTTCTTCTGGCTTTGTTTGTAAATTTTTTGTGGTGAATGATTATTGAATTTTCGGTTTATTGCAAAGGCGTGACAAGCACGAAGCAAACGTGCTGCAAAAAATGATTACATTTCGAATTGAAAATTTTGAAATAAAAAAGATAATAGTATAATACATAAAGAAAAATAGTTACCAATTGGTTCTGCTTCCGTCATTGCTTTTTTCTGGTTAATATCAATCGCGCTTTGCTACGTAGATTTTTCGCTTCACAATCGGTTTTTTTACACGGGGATGTGTATACTTACTTAATTAATTATTGGCTTTTTTATCTACGATTTTTATGCTATATCATACTTTCGCAATTTAAAAGGCATGCTTCTGCTTGCATATTATTCTCTGGTTTGCCTAATTGCAGTAGCCGTTTAACACAATACTGTATCATGAGCTTCCAGAGTCATTCGTATTATGAGCTTAGCAGGGATTCACCAGTTTCTCGGGAAAATGGAGACACTGTCTGTTAAGCTTATGGAAGATAAAAACGATGTTGCAAGATAATATACCATGTAAAAATGCTTCCGGGCGAAATTGAGTGACTGCTGAGATATGCCGTTATAATGAGCATGTGTCCGCTTATTTCTGTTTGTTGATACTGCCGTCTCGTAATGGCGCAATAAAATTCATCTTTATAGGTGGCCATAAAAATCATTGATAAATCGCGACTGGATGAGGCCAATTTGCAAAAGATCTATCGGGAAGTGCAGATTATGAAACAGTTGGATCATCCCAACATCATTAAACTTTATCAGGTACAAGTAACATGCGACGGTATTCGGTGGCAGTGTAATGAACGACGAGCCGGCAGCATGCGGCGTCTGATACTCGGTAATTATCCGTGACGTCAAATGCACCAATTGCTGTTATTCTTACGTTCCGTAATGGGAAAATTATGCTGCCGGCTCCCGAGCATGATATGGAAAAGTGTCGTATTTATACTGATTGATTGACATATTTAATTGCCGCGTAACCGACAGGTTTTTATCAGAGGAAAGGAAATGTATATAATACACGTTTTAGAGAGCTAACAATTGTAAAATGCAGCTTATCAAGGAATGCAAAGTGACGACATTAAACTAAACAGCAAATCTCAATGCTGTTGTTGCTTCGCATAGTTTAAAACTTCACAAACTTTATGACCGGCAAATTCATGAATGTGGTGCATGTTTATTAAGACTAGTACAAAATAGATCGTTTTTTGCTTAATCAAAGTGTTTAATGATGCTGCGGTTTTAGAATAAAGAATCATAGAGGAAATGGTTCAGTGAAGACCGGTACTCGGTGAGATATATTAATGCTCTTCCTGGTCACAGTGTAGGCGGCATAAGCACATTTTGCACTAGCACAGGGAAACAAATTGGGTAGACATACATTTTCATTTTTTTCCTGCGTCAGCATTGATAATACGGGCACCGGAGCGCCGATGTAAAGGCTTTCAGTGGTAATTTCCGTTAGTCAGCGGAACGGGTCCGATATATTCCCGGCCCACCTAATTGCAAGGGTTTGACCGATTTGCTGGAACTGCTGGAATGGCCATTTTTCTTACCGCTTTTATCGATTACTTTTTCAAATGGAATTAAGAATGGTTCCTTGAACTAGTTAGTTGTCATATGGCCTAACTGCGCTACTAATTAGTTGAACATGTACATGTAACGCGTACTCTTTATCGCTGTAACATCCTTAATCAATCAGTCGATAAGTTGGTGACGTTACAAGGGTGCGCTTTTCCGAGTTAAATCATAACTACTCACAAGAACTTTCCTGCATTGTCTCCTGTACGTGCCGTGCCGTTCACTGCTAGAGCTTCCGTTGAATCCGCTGACCTTTTGCCTAATTAGACGGACGTCAGTAAAGGATAAGTGTAGCGGAATTCGTGTAAGGTCGTATCGTATCAATCGTGCCGGCTCACGAGATTGCGTGTACGTTTTTCTCCACCAGTAAACTCTTCATGTCTGATTAGTTGATCATTAAAAAGAAGTTTTGCCTTTTCTAAGCACGGCCATCACGTGCCGATGATGGAGATGTGGGGAAGGCGCTGTCAGAGCCGGCAACTACAGGGATGGCAGGAGCAAATGAGGCGTATGTTTTCCTCTAGATGTTTATAATGTATTATATCTGACCACTCCTTTCCATTATTTTTTCGTCGCGCGACACACATTATTCGTGCGCGGATCATGGATTTCCTATGGATCGATCAGCTTCACCTGAGGGCAAATACATAGTGCGAATCGAAATGTCGCGAGAATTTAGCTTGACGTACCCCCGTCCAATTGTAATGCTAATTACGATAAAGGTCAAGCTCAGCGGGATCGTGAAAATCACGAGACTCCAGAGGAGTGTAGTTAATTTTGGCGACTTTTATCCACAGGCTGCTGGTGACATATGGGTCGCTGGTTTTGATTGCTTTTCAGCGTTTATTGGCATTATAAAAATCGGCGTCACGAATTAAGAGTCCTTTGGCTTAATCGATCGGGCTGAGTCTCGTGATAACAGAAATAACATGTACGAGCACAGAAAACAGATTGTCGAAGAATGGAGTTGCCGGTTATATAACGATCTGGAAAAATAATTATCCGCCATTTGTGATAAAAAAACGTTCAAACATAACTGCTTTAGAAAGGGTTACTTGTACATAGTTTCATTTGTATTTTGTTGAAGAAGAGGTTTCACACTGATAGCATAATTATAATATTGGTCATTAAAATGGGTGATAATTGCATCCTTCTCGTTGGTTTGTAGTTTTGTTGTGAGCTTAATTGGAGACTGATATAGCAGACAGCGCGTGCAACTTTTGCACAAAAATTCTGGTTATAAGTAGTAAACATTTGGCGGCTTAATTAAGTAAATAAGACGTCATAAAGTACCGACACCACGCATCGAGTGAATCGGTTAGCCCCAGATGAAAATCGTATTTTCTTAGTACGCAAGATTCTTCCGTTGGGAATCATGTGATGCTTAATTACAATCCGCTATTCTCTGCTGCCGATCGATCAGTAGGTGTTCTGGCCTTCGTGATCTTTTTGTTCGGCATTGAATAGAATCCTGCCTTTCGTGAGATGTTGACGTAGGGATTTTTTCATCGTATATGACTAGCGTATGAATTGATTTGTTCTTGGGCTAAATGGAGGTTTCTTGCCATGTTCACTTGTGCACCTGATCGGTTATTTTGCAGGTTATGGAAACCAAGAATATGCTTTACCTGGTCTGCGAGTACGCCAGTAATGGAGAAATGTTTGGTAAGCGAAAATAGACACTATCGATTGCGGACTCGCCTTGAATAAATAACAGTCGGGACAGAAACAAAAACCTGAATAAATTACTTTTTTTGCACTCATATTATTTTATTGTCTGGACTGTTTGACAAATTCTAAAATTAATATATGTATTTGATTGCATTTGCCGTGAATATTTTTGGAAAAGTTTTATTTTGCGACTTCGTGAGCTGAATCAAAATTAAGGCACAATTTGGCTGATAATTCCTCGTCATAGCTTCGTACATTGGGCGAGAAAGAAAAGAAAAAAGGTCATGTCCTTTCGTTAAATCAGAAAGTATCATGTATGAAGGATGTAAGCCGCATTGAAATTAATTTGATTTAAAAAATAATGTCTGACGTCGAAGTCGTTGATAGAATTAAGAAAGCGAGCCTTTCGAGGAGTTATTGCATGACTAATATCAAATGCACAGACAAACCGGGGACAATTTGATTGGAAAGCCTTCCCGTGTTTGGCTGCTAGTCTTGACGGCATTTGTCAGCGTAAATAGCCTGAAAATAAAATCTTTTTTGACTGGCCTCCATTATACATCTGGCCAATTGGGAGGAACGGCACAGAGTATCATTCCCTCTTTGCCCGGATTTTACTTTGGGAAAAGGCTTGTCGGATACATTATATTATGTGTGCTCATCTTTCCCCGAGCTGACAGCCCCGCGATTGTACCAGTTTAGGGATGACGAAGTCAGTGTTTTAAATGCGTGGGAAACGTAATTGAAGCATCCCAAAGCCAGCTATTTAGCCGGTCGTGACGTGCATGATCTATTTAATAATAGGAGCCGTACAGTCCGGGCTGTGTACAGGGGGGAGCCGAGAGAATGGAGCGCACACGATGACGGTCGGCAGACGTCGTTAGCGGTCTTCTCCGGCTAGAAAAATGCCAATATTTGCGCCGTATACAAGTAACTGGCGCTTCCGATTCCCGCGCGCGCCAGCGGACTGGGGCGTCGCCGGTATGCGGAACGGGGTGATGGTCGATTTAAGCCGATTGAATCTCCCGGATATTGTTATGGCTTGGCATTCTACTTTTAGAGATAGTGGCTTCTTTAAATGCCGGTTTTAACTTTTCATATGATATTTAAAGCCGAAGAAGTTCTGCATTTCCGTAAACGAGGGCTCGGCGAAAATAACATGAAACCAGATTTTTGATATTTGATGACCAACGACTGCATTTTGTAAAACAAAATGTTCGAAACAATTCGTTACTCCGTTGTAAAGTCAATAACGCAGTTAATAATAATATGTCTGCCTTTAATTCTAGGCAGACTGTATATGTGGTGTAGATCTGTCCTAATTTGCCGAAATATCTGCATTTTCACTGTACAAAATACGAATACCGGTGGGCAAACTGATCTAACTGCATAATTGTGGAAATTTTATGTACTAGGAAAACACCAGCCGCCATGTGATTATTTGGGATATTTAAACCATGATCCCTCGTAACAACGTTAACAAGCAGCTTACAGGAAATGGTCTAATTAGTCTAATTGTCTGTTGTTTCCTTGGCCGTCCCGTTCGGCATAAACACTTCTTGTGAATGGGATGATTGATTCGGCCTTTTGTGACTGTTTTGCAGACTACATCGCTAATTATGGCCGGATACCGGAAGCCGCCGCTCGGCGTATATTTTGGCAGATACTCTCCGCGGTCGAATATTGCCATTCAAAAAGCATTGTTCACCGAGATTTAAAGGTTAGTTGATGTTAAAACTCTCCATATAAATGCCACCTCCAGGGCAATAAGGCCATTCTGCTGTCGGTAATACATATATCGGCTGTGAGACGTGCCCGCTCTCACGTGTCATCATCAGCGCGGGCATTCCGGCACTTCCGGCCGACAAATTTGTATCGGCTGACTTTCAGGGAATGAGCAATTATGTGGGCATAGTTTGTATTATCGTCCTGGAAAAAACTACCACGATTAAGAAGGCACAACTCCGAATTTTATTATTGTATTTACGCCTATGAAATTAATTTAGTCGTAATCGGTCGCACGATTGAATCGTAGTGTACAGATATGTGACAAATATCAAAAGGTTCAGATCCATTTTCCAGGTTTATAACTGTGGGTACATGTGTTTTATTTATGCGTTTGGATTATGGGACGCTTGTTTTTATGTTATTGTGATACCTCAGCGATGCGGAAGTCCGTCCCATCTTCGCCGATCACCATAACAATAACAGTCGGCGTTATCACTTTTTTGTCAATGACATTAAAAAGACGCTGGGAGAGATTGACGTCGGTATTTTTGTTTTGCAAATATGAGCCTTGTCTGTGTACACTTAGCGCGGCGGGCTCTTCTCCTCGACAACTTTTGGTTCACATAAAGTTTTGAATCAGTTTTAACCGTTCGAAACTGACGTCAGCCGACAGCGGTGACGCGAAGCGACCTTAAACTTTTAAAATAGCTCATTCACAAGGAAGGTGTATAAAAATAACGTCCGTGCCAGAAGATGCGCCTGACTGCGCTGGAGGTCCCTTTTCGAATAAACTTTGAAAGATGCTTAAGGTTTTATAAAGTGTGCGGTTCGGCTGGGATACCATTTTAAATTATAGTTTTAACTGCGACAATCGCGGTTTTCGGTACCGGGTTTGTAAAATGTGTTCTTTTAATTGCTTGAATTGTGAGATGAAGTAAACTTATTACTCAAATTAAATACATTTTAACAGCGAACAATGAAGAACATAACAGTTAATTATTGCGAACACAGGGAATAGCAGAAACTGGTGTTGTGTCATTGTGTTTGAGGTGTTTTGAATCGTACTTTCTGTAAGTTTTTTATTTGAGAATTTACTTCACTTCAACGTTTGCTGAAATATGATTTAGCTGCATTACTGACCAAGTTATTGTATTATTCACAGGCGGAAAATTTGCTGTTGGACTCCAATATGAATATCAAATTAGCGGGTAAGTTGTTCCTTTGCGCATATCCCCCGAACAGTGAATACACAACACTTAGTAAATAACAAGCGATCTGACGTCACTGGGTTAAGTTAGGAAATCGGGCTGTTTTTAGCGCTTAAAGCTTGACGATTTTTGAAGACATGTACTTATAAAGCCAGCGCTACAGCGGGCGGCAAGCCCAGTTGCAGTCATGTGCAGCATACGTAGATGCCCGGGCATAGATATCTATGTGTGCCGTAATATTATTGATTTATCCCAATCTTTTCCACTTTTCTTTCCCGGGACATCTGCGCAAATCGGTGGCAGTAGAATAGTAAAGCCGCTTTGTCACTCTGACAGTCGCACATCACGGCACCCTAGGTAGGACGTCAAAGTCACGACAAAACAGAGATTGTATTTCGCATCCCGCTACTTTTCCTTGTAAATTGACAACCCGGCTACACTCTTTTGCGCTCACTGAATAAGTCATGACGTGCGTAGCAGTGTGTTGTTTTTTTCTTGAGAGAAAGTTCAATCAATTTTGCTACTGATTGCTGGGCCGGATGTGGATGGGGATAAAAAAGGGCACTTATTAGGATGCCGTCCGTGTCGGCTCATAAATTCCTAATATGCCGGTCGGAAAACAATAAAAGCCGTCCGAGAGTGGGGACTCAAAAACAGGAAAGCGGTGGGAGAAGCGGAAATTTATTTACTCTTGATCAGACAACGTAAACATCTTAATATTTGTTGCATAATCCGCTTTTAATTGTTTGTGAAGGCTAATGCCATTATTAAATTACGTAGCATAAATTGCGGTATTTTAAAGATCGGAATATTCCTGTTTTTTCAATTGCCGGTACGTTTGCAATCTGAAAAACTGTAAGTCCGTAAACTACGTAAATCAATGCTGTGTTTACCGGTACCCTCAAAGTACTGCAGCACTTAGGAAGTACCTATGCACCACTCTGTGCTTTACAGCTGATTAATCAACAGTATTTCATGACGTAAGAATAGTTTTACCCTTGAAAAGCAACGTTGAAGTGTTATTTTGCAATTGCAGATTTTGGATTCAGTAATTATTTCTCTCCTGGCGAGCAGCTAGCGACGTGGTGCGGCAGCCCGCCGTATGCAGCCCCCGAAGTCTTTCAAGGCCGAAAGTATTCAGGACCACAGACGGATATCTGGGTAAGATACGGCAGAGATTTATGATTATTCTTTAGCACCGAGCCCCGGTAACAAATTGCCACTAATACCCATATCGATATATTGATAAAAAGGTCGACGTCGGCATGTTGACGTCCGCTGATTGCTAACCTAGTTCACGCACACTGGAATCATTCAAGAAAACACTCTTACGCGTCTCAGCCCAGCTGAATAATCGTTTCAAGGAAAACAGCATTTTTGAGTATATGACGGTCACGGCGGCAGTGATTAAACCGTTGGCTGGAAATGCCTGCCGGGGCAGGTGTTCAATGGGCAGGAAGCGAAAAAAGTGTGCTTATGCGCGGTGTATAAGTGACAGCAAGGGGGAATAAGGGAGACACTATAGCGGCATATGGTCCTGACGAGCAGCGATTAGGCATTCAATCATGACAAGCCAGTGTTGTGTGATGAATAGCTCAGGTGGCGGGATAGGGATTGAGCACTACCCGGGCTGGCTGATGTGAAAAGGTCATACCTGACGGACAATCTGGTACTTAGCGCATATTTGGCAGGGCCGGAAATCTATGGGATGTTGATTCATTAGCTTGACGTCAGCGGCGTCCTTTTCACTGCGCTTTTCAAGCGCACCGCTGCCGCTAACGTCATTACCAAAGTGCCGGGCTTGTTCAGCACGCTCAGGCAGCCCGAGTGGCGAAATAATGGACGGCATGCGGTGTTGTCATTGAATTAAAACGACACAAGTAGGCGACATCACCTGCAGTGCTGACGTGATGTTTGTCCGATATTACAGAGCCTGGGTGTTGTATTATACGTGTTGACCACCGGCTCATTACCGTTCGATTCCACGACATTACCGGCATTACGGGATCGTGTACTGAGTGGGCGCTTCCGGATACCCTTCTACATGTCCTCCGAATGCGAGCATCTCATCCGGCATATGCTGGTGCTGGAACCCAATAAACGCTACACGATTGAACAAATTAAAACCCACCCGTGGACGCATGCCGACACCACCCTACCGGCGGCGACCATCAGTGCCAAACCGCGCGTCACCGGTGAAGTCAGCGAGCAGATCGTCCAGGTCATGAAAAGCCTGGGCATCGAGGAGAGCAAGACCCGCGAGGTAGTCAATGACGCAAAAACTGATTGGCGTGTATCGTAATTAAGAAAATAATTGATTTTCAGAGCGTCTGCAATGAGTCATTCGATCACATTGCGGCTATTTATTATCTCCTAATGGAAGGCTTAACGCACCAGCGCCACTCCATACAGCACCGCCGGCCGCATAGTATCGTCGACGAGACGACATCCGGGCGGCCGTTCCTGGCGGAGACGCGTCGGCCCTTTAATCGCACCGTGGATTCCGCCGCCCATCCCGCTGCTCACCAGTATCATCACCATCCGCCCGCGCAAAACCAGGGCAGCATCTCGTCGACATGCAGCAGCTTCTCCACGGGCAGCTCCATCGGCTCGATGGGCTCGTTCGCCTGTAGTAACCCACACCGAACGCACTATGTCACCTCGCTGGATGAAGGGGTGGGGCTGGACACCGGCAGCTTGGACTACGATCCCGGCACGGGAGCGGCGGCGGCATACCGCGGCCAGTCATATGAATCGTTCCCGGAGGAGTTCGCCATCCCGTCGAGCATCAGTCCGGTACCCGGCTCATTGTTGAATGATCTCACTGCTCAGATAACCGATTCGCCGCCCGGCAGCGGGATGGGTTCGCCCTATGAGAGCTTTGAATCTCAGATTGATCAGGATGTCCTGGTGTCGAGTTTGTCGTCATATGTGCATCCGGCCCGGATTCAGCATGGCCGGTCGGTCAACAGTTCCACGGATGAAACCGAAGTGGGACGAACACCGTCGCCGGGGAATTTCCGGGATGGTCGGCGGGCGTCGGAGACAAATCTGGCACCGGCTGTAGAAGGAAGCAGTCAGGGCGCCGGAACATCGTGGGCCTTCAAGACACCTTTAAGGCAGACGGGAAAAGCACGGGGCATGATTGATGTGCATCAGCAATACGAGGACCAAATGTTCGGTCAGCCAGGTCATCCTGGTACGAGCGGACAACAAAACTATCCGCCAAGTGGTGTCCTGGATGAATCGGCGGCCATGGAAAGGGTAAGAATATTTTTCTGTAATACAGAAAGATAGCTTTGCGGCATTGTGCACGATTATTGCATAATATCCTTGCAGCCCGTACTGGTTACAGCCGTAAAGACGCTAATCATAGTTACATTTAGTTTTATTGTGGCGGGAATTAATGATGATAGAATAGATGGTATAGTCAATGACACAACAGATTCCTCAGGGAATGAAATATCAGCATCACCTGTCTCGGCACGAGGTCAAGGGCAAATGTTTTCAAAAGGGGCTTATTTTTGCGCTTCATTGTTACCATGTGATGTTGTCAGAAAGCCGTTCGCGGCGGCAGGCACGCACACAGCCAACTATGGCAGCTGATGCAAATTAACGTCAAGCGATGTGTTTATTCACAATGGAAATGGGTTTGACATGGCGCCTACGAGGCACATGACCTTTTCGTGCCACTGTCGATATAGCCCCTTTTGCCAGATTCAAATTGGTGGCACGAGAGGGCTTGGCGGCTGCGTCTGCACTGATGTATGCAGTGCAGATATAAACCACCACACCCCGGGTGATAATGAGGGTTATGAGTGTCTGTTGTGACGTTGATTAAAGCGCCACTGAAAGCCAAACACCGTCGCCATATCGAATCTCTAAACTGTTTTGATTCGGTCCGGATGTTACGTAGCTTTCGACATAATATTGCGCGCAACCTGATATTATTGTCATGTTTCATATGGAGTGTTTGGCTTTACAGCTGTCGATTAACTCCCCAATGTCGCCATCGCGCGCCGCCACCATCGACGATCAGCACCCCGTCAGCCGGGCCGACCGTCCGCCGTTGCCGAAACGGATCAGCCTCCCGGAGCGGCTAGAAAACCAACCGCAGAAACTGCTGGTGTACAAGCATGCTAAACAATTGCAACAGCAAGTGGCCGCGGCGACGGTTCATCCCGACGATCCCTCCGCTCCGCCGCTGCAGCATCAACAACAACTCCTGCACCGGCTGCAGACCAAACGGGCCGCCTGGAAGAATCAGTCCTCCATGCACCGCAGCATGGATTATCCGGCATCCATGGGCGTACCCGGGCCTAGTCGGCGCCCGGCGGCCTTGCCGCATAATCGGCAGATGTCAACGTTTAAGCACGGGATGCTGCCGCCTCTAGTATCGCCGCAGATATCCCATGAATTCGATTGGTCGACGGCGGCACAAGGTACCGGGGAGGAAATGCCGCGCACCTGTCCCGAACAGATGTCGGTGGATTCTCCGGATAGCCCGGGGTATTTCGGCCCGGGTGGGGCGGATCACATGGAGACGAGCTGATCACAGGGACCAACCGTTGTCGTTGTTGATCCAGATTTACACGGTGCGATTGCGCCGGTTAACGCATAATGCGGCACAAACGGTGCCATTGCGTAGGAGCTGTATCCTCGCCATCGCTCTCTCTCTCTCTCTCAAATTCAGCAATACTTGAAAATTTTTTATGAAATGGATCGTGACCTGCAGGCGAGTGCCTTTGGATGAATCCAAGATTTTTATCTGAAGAATTTATGAAAAGATTTTAGCGGCTCTTTTTGTTGAGGAATTTCTTCAGGCGCACTTGGTCTGCTTCAGAATATTGATTGATGGCCTAGTCAGATTTTGATGGTATTTGTAGTTTGGCAGAATTGTTCACGACAATTCTGATGTGTATTTTAAAGATTGTACTTGTAAAATATAGCTTTTATTATTTTACGTTACTTTAGTTTTCCACTCATCTTTGTTGTACGGGAAGCGAACAGTGGAGTTGCCCTGACTGTGATTAAGCGAAGAGAATTCTATTTTTCTTCCCGGAGATTTTTTTGTTGGAGTCGTAACTGTATGTTCGTACAACATTCTTCACCTCGTTGGAAGTAAAGTATCTTTTGATGTCAAGCGCGACTGGCGCTTAAAAACCAAAAGCTGTACATCTGACTACAGGAGAATATGAATAATTTATACAGTAAAAAAATTGCACTGTGAACTTTCTCTTCGCACAACGGAACAATATTTTGAACCACCTTTCAAGTTTGATAATATTGTATTACAGTACTGGTATAACGAGATAGTGTTAGTAGTACCGTTGTAATTTGTAAACATCATTTAAACAGTTCTTCATCCTGCTATCGGGCTGACAGGTTTGCGGTTGTCAGACCAGTGATTGTCTCATATGTAAATTTTTATCTAGAAATGTATCCATTTTCGGCCTTCAGGAAATCATATCGAATCTGCCGGGTAAACCGTATATTGCATAATGTAGGTTATCAAAAGCGTAATTCGCACGTAGCTAACAATATTATCGTGTCAAGACTGTATCGATTCAATAATGAACTGTATCAAGAATGTATCCAGCGATGTCGGCGACTTTGTAAACAACGTAATATCTATATATACTACTCGTATACAATATATATAATAAGACAGCCGGTGTCGAGTTTATATTACCTCTGACTTTATAACTGATACAGGAAATTTAGTGAGTGAATGACTGCATTTTTTTATATGAAATTAACATCTGTTTTGCAAAAAATTAGATTTTCAAGTTGTAAATTTATTATTGTTGTTCCTGAAAATGTTGATAATAAAAGAGGATCAGCTGGAAGAATTTTGCGGGGAGTTACAGCATTTGTTACCACAGTCCTTTCCGGTTAGTAGGCCAGATATGCAGTGCACATGCCATTAATTAATATTACTGAATCCGTGACAGCCATTTACAATGCTTTTTTATGCGAACAGATTCTAAAGCTGGCACAAAACCATCTAAAGAAAAATTCTTTTGCATGGCCTGGACTGGAATTTGTGGTTGGTAATGCGTTTATTCTGGCTACTAATCTTACCTTTAATTTGCCAACATAAAATGACGAAAAAGTTGAAGAAGCTGTCTTTCTTGATTGAAAACGTAGTATTCATATTCAGTACACGGTGCTCTGATCACTCACTCAAATAAGGTTTTGTTTCGATATTACAGAGTAGTTATGAACTGTATATAGCTGGCATGGCATAATAATTTCAAATAACCTTTATATGTCCAGTACGTACGACTCTGTGTTCTCCTCATGGGTCTCAAGATGTAAAAATGTGTTTCAGTCTGAATAGTCGTATTTATAATTCACACTAGTGGTATTAAACGAAAATATTATAAGTCTTGTTCTGTCCGTGTTTCCACACTTTTCCCAAGTAAAATATTTTATCGTTAAATGTGCGAAACCTTTTAATTTATACCAGTGATTGCAGATCGCTTCCCTAATTTTACTGCCTGCTTAGTCCGGCCGCGCCCAGGAGATCCCGTACGTATCATTACGCTATCATCGCTTGTAATAGCTTAAAATGAATTAATCTTTGGTATAAGCAAAATCTGTGATTTTAACTGCCGTAATCATTTGAGTCCAGAGAAGGCGCACATATCTGCTAAAGAATTATATTTACACAAGTGTGCATGCGCAGTAACGGATTACCGCGATGCCGGACTTTTAACTTCAGCCGCAGTAAAAGTTTATCTTTCCAGACATATGTTCCCAGACGATGTCACTATCTCTATAGTGCGATTGCTACAGATGTGGAAAACTTTAAAATGCTGCTTGACCAACCAGATTTGGTCAACTGGAAAACTGCCGTATATTTCCAGGGTAAGTGCTGTATATCAATATACAGTACTGGAGAAGCGAAACATATTGACGACCGTAAACTGCATAAACATACCATTTGTACATGACGAAAGTACTGTACTGCTGTATAACGGAACATCAAATAGCTACGGACAGATAACCCGCATCCACATGCGTATAATCAGAAATTTTATTTATAATAACTAACTTATTTAAAATTATGATACAAAAATTTTGCAACCTAAAGTATGGCACGCTGTAGTGCTGTACGGACAGGAGGTATGTACTCGTATTCTAAAATTTGCAGTGTTTGCGAAACTCTGTTACAGCGATTCCGGAAGACCTTCTCGGTGCGGTAGAGGAGGTGTGCAGCAAACATGGTTCTACAATTGGTCCAAAGCAGCACCTACACTTTTCTGCTACTGGATGGACTGTTAAACCAGCGGAAATAGCAAGGTATGTAAAATTTTCCAATCCTGAGGAACAGAAACATAGCGTTCAATTTATCTTAAATAACAAATAATTCATCAGTGGCCTATGAAAACCTCACCGTTGCGTGATGACACAAGATACCGGTTTCGAAAGCGTACCTCTATACTTACTTACAGTACGATTAGTAACAGCAATACGAGTCGTACAGTAACGGTATTACTACATGCATTGTGAAAGAGTTGAAAAGTTCTTCGTTACTACCTGGAATCAAAATTTAAAGTTTCTGGGTGGTAATAAAATGTACAGAATAAATACGACGGTTTGTGTGCATTTCAGTATGCCGCAACCGCCGATCGAGGGATTCACTTTCCGTCGTCCGGACCGAGACGATATGCCGGTTCTCAGTAAACTGTGGCGTTACGGTGGGGGCACCGACGAGACACTGCAGTATCTCTATCACCTGCATGACCACCACTTTCCGATGATGGGCATCTACAAAGAGCAGCAGCTGGTCGGCTTCGGCATCATAACGGCGGAAATGGCCATGTCGGCGGGATATGTTCAGCCGGAAATTCGCGGACGCGGCTTGGCTGGGGGAATTATTGGGTATAGCGCCAAGGACATGCAGGAGATCGGCGAAACGGACAGTTTCATGTTCATCAGTGAAGACAATGTAGCCTCGAAGAAGGTGTTCACCAAAGGTGCCGGCGCAGTGCGACAGGAAGACTGGAGAATTGTGGATGTGCTTTACAAACCGCACAATGTGGATAAAAACGATCCACTAATGATATGGTATAACAATATACACGGCGATAGTCAAAATTAATAAAGTTTTAATATTGCGATTGCTTAACAGTCATCCATATCCGTGTTATAGTCGCCAGTGACGGTTTCTTGACGCTTGAAACAACCAAACTGAAGCACATGCGTATTGTAAAATACACAACAGCGATAAAATAGAACAAAATCCAATGCTTTGTAATATGACACTTTCATTTTAATTTTTAACAGTTATGTACTATATGAAGAATCTTCCGCGATGTAAAGTATCTGCGCCGGAAACCAACTTAACCAAGATGCAAAAGTGAATTATTTTAGTTAAACATGACATCAGTGTAAAATACTGCTGCTACGAATGGCCATAAAATTATTGCCATCCCATGTACAATCGAAAAAGCAATTCGGCATGTGACAAATAATCTCGAAGCTGCGCAAATACATGTATCTGTTCGGGTAACCACAAAATAAAGAAAATTCAAAACAACGCAGACACCAGGTCAAAAACGCGCCAGGGGGTTAAGCTAGGATTGTTATCCGTATTTTCATTACGCTCAGACATGCCATCATTTCCGACACAGCCGAGCACTGCGCAAAGCTTCCAGCGCTCGTTCAAAGTACGTGATCCAACACCGTCTCTGTCCATTCAACATTCGCCCGATTTTGTTCCCTCCTCAACCAGCGATTCAGCAATAGCTTCCCGTTGAGATACCACGCTCGTTCTTCGTCCTGTGCGCATTTACACCCATACCGAAAAGCACACATCCAAACCAGCATAAGCTGACCCATTCCGTCTAATCCATACAACCGCGAGTACTTAATTCTACAGAATGGCAAAACACACCGGTTAAAAATTTCAGCGTATGCCTCTTAAATTAACGATAACTTACTACTAAAGTTCAACCGGATTCTCCCTGGCGGGTGTCCCAGCTGATGGTGGGTGTTACCGCGATGATCCTGCGCGCCCTGTAACACCAGCTTGATAACGATCTGAATCAAATTAAGTTAAACATGAAATTTCAACAATATAACTGTACAGTTGTTTCTAGAGCATTAATGCACAGCTTTTGTATGAATGCAGCGGGTACTCGTAAGCCGTTATGTCATCACTAACCAGGAGCGGACACATTGCGCAGTATTCCCCGGTCCGGCACGACTGAACGCTGCTGCGCCGGTGCCGCCATACCCGCCTTATTATTATTATTCTTACTAGTGGTGGTTTATATTTTATAACCACATTATTGCACCGAGCGCGAGCAATAGCCACTGAGATCTGTTACGCATTTCCAGTACCACTTGAAAATGATACGTACCACTGGAAATGGAATCAGTATTGTGGAATTCCACATATCCCATAGGAAAGAGGTGACGGTGACGCGCTTTCTGCCGTCAGACAACTCTGCTGTGGAAGTATATACTCTGCTATGGAGCGTGTAGTCTTGACGATCAGTTACAGTACTGCAGCACCTCGCGCTTCGCGCTCGGTGCAAATCTTTAACTGTATTGCGGTGACTCTCAGATCGCTACATCGCAGCCTCGCAGAACGTCCAAAAGCCATAAAAATGGCAAGCGGTCTGAATCAGACCCATTCTTCCCTGCAAACCATCTTCTGTGACGATCCTGCAGCACGGTCCAAATCGCCTTTTTCAACCGGTAGGTATTTGTGTCCTGCAGCTCCCTGCTCCCTTTCAAAAAAGTCACAGAGAAGGGCAGGCCAGTTACCCTTTGCTCTACACGCGCTTTTAGCGGTTATTGTACATCAGATCTGTTGGTGCTGATGTGCTAAACGCCTGCTATGTACTTTGCATATTCGCAAGCTTCTTTCAAAACGCAGCCTTTTCGGATCAGCCGGCAGAGAGCTGAGATGTAGCGGTATGCTGAGATGTAGCGATCTGAGAGTCACCGCAATACAGTTTTTCTTCCTAACTATTAAGACAGAGCTGTCTGTCCGTAACGCTCCCGCCTCCAAATCGCTCTGATTGGTCAAAACCGAAAAGCTTACTAAACACAGTCAACCTACTGAACAAACTCACAAACTATAGTGAACCTGCTGAACACACTTACTAAACAAAATGAACCAGCTGAACTCAACCAAAACCTTCGTGAACCAGCTGAACCCAACCTAAACCTGATTGAACCACCTGAACCCAATCGAAAAGCTAGCGAACCGACTGAACCCAACCAAAACCTTAGTGAACCAGCTGAACCCAACCTAATCCTCAGTGAACCAGCTGAACCCAACCGAGAAGTTAGCGAACCGACTGAACCCAACCAAAACCCTACTGAACCGGCTGAACTCAATCAAAACCTTAGTGAATTAGCTGAACCCAACCTAATCCTCCGTGGACCAGCTGAACCCAACCTAATCCTCAATAAACCAGCTGAACCCAACCGAAAAGTTAGCGAACCGACTGAACGCAACCAAAATTTTACTGAACCAACCGAACCTAATCTTCAGTGAACCAGCTGAACCGAACCTAAACGTCGATGAACCAACTGAAGCCAACCAAAAACATTAGTGAACCGACTAAACTCAACATAAAAATTATTGAACCAAAAAAACCAAACCGTAGCCTTAGCAATGGGACTGAACTTGACCTAAACATTGTTGAACCAAATAAACCTAACCCAATCCTTAGTAAACCGCTTAACAACGTAACGTAACCACGCTAGATTACGCGCAGTGACGCTACCACTCGAGCGCAAGCAGCGGAATGTAAGCACACGAGAGAAAGCTGTGTGACCCTATTGCAGAGAGCAATCAGCGTAATTTAACCACGCGAGAGTAAATGGCGTAACGTTACCACGCTAGAGTAAGCGCAATAACGTTACCCCGAGAGAGTAAGCAACGTAAGGGTTGCCAGTTAAGTAGCGTTAAGTAGATAAAGCTACGTAAATCTATTAGTGAGAGTAATTAGTGTAATTTTTCCACGCGAGAGTAATGGACGTAACGTTACCACGCGGAAGTAAAACAAGTAGCGTTACAACGTGAGTATTAGCAGCGTAACGCTACCCCGCGAAAGTAAGCACAGCAACGTTACCATACTAGGGTAAGCGAAATAACGTAACCACACGAGTAAGCAGTTTAATATTACAAAGTGAAAGTAAGCGGCTTAACGTTACCACCGAAAGTAATTTAATGTTTAACCACTCGAATTTTAGTTTTTAACCGCTCGAACCAGCGTAGCGTCATCTCGCGGAAGTAAGTGGAGCAAAGTAAGAACGCGACAGTAGGAGACATAACGTAAGCAAGCGAGACGAAGCAGCGTAACGTGATCGCGCGAGACGAACCAGGGTAAAGTTACCACGCGAGAGCGGGCAGCGTAACGCAACCACACGAAAATCTATGTATCTACTACATACGTATCTACTACGGTAAGCTACGTATCATTCTTGCAGAGGGTAACCAGCGTAACGTTACCACGTGATAGTTTAGCGGCGTAGCATTACTACGCGAGAGGTAACGGCATAACGTGATCGCACATGTACGTAATAACGCGAGAGTTCACGGCTATGCTAACGGTTAGGTGAACGAAACTGTTTGCGTTAAATATCTTGCGTAAAAACCAAACACAATATACAGTACAGTTAGCTTATTAGTTGCAAAGAATAACGTGCTCCAGTTAAGGACGTCCGCTAAGTTTTGAAATGCTACCCTTTTAATATTTAAAAACTACAAAGTAATCCATCTTCGTTAAATCCGCGGCGCGTAGCGCCGCAATCGTTGCTAGTCCTATATATTAAAGCAGAGCCGTTATTCCGGAACGCTCCTGCCTCCAAAACCTTCTGATTGGCCAGAACCAGCCTAACCTTTCTGATTGGCCAGAACCCGCCTAGCGGGTTTTAAGCTTCTGCAGCCCCTTAAACCTGTGCTGTTGCGCGTTTGTCCTTACCAAGCTTCCGGAACTTAGTACTTTCACCTGTGAGAACCTTCGCCTGATAAACCGGATCCCAGCTTCAGCATTGCTCCTAACTAAGCTTCCAAACATTAGTTCTTTAAGAAACCTGATAACTTTAATTTACTTACCGGTACCGTCTTTTAAGTCTTTAATTACCTTGCGGTAGCACCTTTTAAGCTTTAGTAACCAAAGGCGACGCGTGCGGTACCCGCCTTTCTGAGCCTTTGGTCACCGAAGGCCACGCGTGTAGTGCCCGCCTTTTTGAGCCTTTGGTCATCGAAGGCCACGCGTGTGGTACGTTGGCCACCGAAGGCCTTTTAAGCCTTAGGTCACCGACGGTTTTCTAAGCCTTTGCCCACTGAAGGCCTGTTAGGCTTTTGGTCACCGAAGGCCTTTTAAGCCTTTGGTCACTGAAGGCCTTTTAAGCCTTTGGTCACTGATGGCCTTTAGACCCACTCTTTTAAGCCGTTTGTAACCGTGGGCCGCGTCAGCGCGGCGCGTAAGCGCCGCGGGTCCTGCTTGTAACTATTAACGACTATTTTAAGACAGAACTCTCTGTGCGTAACGCTCCCGCCTCCAAATCGCTCTCATTGGTCCGAACCAAAACACTTACTAAACGAAGTGAACCTACTGAACAAACTCACAAACTATAGTGAACCTTCTGAACACACTAACTAAACAAAATGAACCGGCTGAACCCAACCAAGACCTTAGTGAACCACCTGAACCCAACCTAATCCTTAGTGAACCATCTGAACCCAACCTAATCCTTAGTGAACCGACTGAACCCAACCGAAAAGTAAGCGAACCGACTGGACCCAACCAAAACCTTACTGAATCAGCCGAACTCAGCCTAATTTCAGTGAACCAGCTGAACCCAACCTAATCCTTAGTGAACGGGCTGAACCCAACCAAAACCTTACTGAACCAGCTGAACCCAACCTAATTCTTAGTGAACGGGCTGAACCCAACCTAATCCTTAGTGAACGGGCTGAACCCAACTTAATCCTCAGTGAACGGGCTGAACCCAACCAAAACCTGATTGAACCAACTGAACCCAACCGAAAAGTAAGCGAACCGACTGAACCCAACCAAAACCTTACTGAATCAGCCGAACTCAACCTAATTTCAGTGAACCAGCTGAACCCAACCTAATCCTTAGTGAACGGGCTGAACCCAACCAAAACCTTACTGAACCAGCTGATCCCAACGTACTCCTTAGTGAACGGGCTGAACCCAACCTAATCCTTATGGAACCAATTGAGCCCAACCGGAATTTAGTAAACCAACTGACTTACGGAACGCAATTATGGAAAGCGATTGCACCCAAATCGCTCTCATTGGTCAGAACCAAAGCTGTTGCTAAACCCGATGAACCTGCTGAATAAACTTACTTAATTCACTGAACCTGCTGAACACACTAACTAAACGAAATGAACCTACCGAACCAGCTCCTTAAACCAGAATAACTACGTCAACTCATTCAACCACCTTGCTATACAAAGCGAACCTGCTGAATCCACTTTCTGAACAAAATGAATCGACTGATTCGACTTCTTAAGCAAACTAATCTTATAAAAGAAGTTTACAAACCATAATCGCTTACGAAACCTAACCAAAATTTAGCGATTAAGCGGAACCCAACCGAATCGCTAATGAACCAACTGAACCCAACCAAAACTGTAATGAACCTAAACTCAACCAAATCCTCAGCAAAGCGACTCAATCCAACTAATAATTAGTCAGCCTACTAAAGTTACTTATCTTGCATCATCACCTTGAGGTTTTGGAGGCCCAAATGAGCAAACTCCACGGTGTGTTTTAAAATTTCCGTCATGAGTAACTTTTTCCCATAAATTTTCGTGATTCTGATTTTTTTGTTTGCACAGTTCTGGTAAAGAACGTTCTGAAACATTTTTTTAGAATGTTCTGGAACAATCCTTTAATGACGTAACTTTAATAGAACTCGGATTGGGTATCCCCGGCACTAATGTTTCAGTTTGCGCAATCTGCGGAGTTCTGGAAAAGAACGTTCTAGAACATTTTTTTAATGACGTAAATTCAACAGAACTCGGATTGGGCATCCCCGGCACTAATTATTTTTCAACGTTCCGGAACATTTTTTTAGAACGTTCTGGAACATTCTTTTAATGACGTAAATTCAACAGAACTCGGATTGGGCATCCCCGGCACTAATTATTTTTCAACGTTCCGGAACATTTTTTTAGAACGTTCTGGAACATTCTTTTAATGACGTAAATTCAACAGAACTCGGATTGGGCATCCCCGGCACTAATTATTTTTCAACGTTCCGGAACATTTTTTTAGAACGTTCTGGAACATTCTTTTAATGACGTTACTTTAACAGAACTCGGATTGGGTATCCCCGGCACTAATTTTTCAGTTTGCGCAATCTGCGGAGTTTTGGATATGAACGTTCTAGAACATTCTTTTAATGACGTAACTTCAAGAGAACTCTGATTGGATATCCTCGGCACCAATTTCTCAACAACGCGGAGTATATAAAGAACACCGGTTTACAAAAATTTTGATCTTTCTTTCAGTCTTTCAGTTTCTTCTGAAGCAAGCACTAAGATCTATTTCATTGTAGTTTGGTGCCGACTAAAACATATTTGAGAACTAATTAATATGAAATGACTCTAGAACCTTAGTTTCCTTTCTCGCGAGTTTTCTTGCCAAAAGTTTTTGTCTTTGGATGCGTCAATGTTCTATTCGGATGTCGAAAAATTTGGAACAGTATACGTTAGCGAAGGACTTAGTTTCCAAAATTGGAAAGACCGTGAAAGTGATAGGAGAGATCACGAAGGTGTCCAAAGAAAACCGAACTCTTCACATTCGTACTCCAGACGGCGTTGTCGTTTTCTTGAACCTTGCGGATCAAGTAAGTCCATTTCAAGGATACCATTTCAAGACCTATTAGGTGCATGCGGTGTTACTGTAGTTTCTCGGACCTGTGCGTGGATTTGTGGAGGTCAGTGGGTCTGTCGCTGGCGTCAAAACAATTACATCCCAGACACTCATACACGAGCTGGAAAGTGACTCCGAGCTGTCCGTTAGTTACGGTAAGAATGACAACACTGCTTTCTCTCCTCCTGTTTCTTTTTTTGTGTCTCAGATGGAAATCGAATTTTGTCTTTTTCGTTCGCAGAATTACTAACGGGTCAGCAGTCCAGCGGTTTGCGCGGTCCGAAGACAGGCAGAGAGCCTATTAAGATGGCGAGAAAATCTGTCAGAGGACGAGCGCATGCGCACACAATCGGAAGGCTTGGAAAGAATGCGGCAAAACAGAAAGCACGAAACTGAAAGTCAGGACCGGTTACGTCACGACGCTTTGCAGCATAAAAGTCGATGGCAAGAAGGCAAAGCCGAAAAACCCGGACGGTTCGAAGCTTTACAGTACTCTGATTCAGACACCGCACTTCCGGATCTGGGGCCTATAAACTGCATTTGTTCTGCCTGTGGAGCCCGGCATTTCAAATCCGAGCTGACTGGCAAGGACAAAAACATTTTTACGACTTGCTGTCAAAAAGGCGCAGTTGTGTTGGATCCTGTCGTACCGGAAGGATTTCCCCAGCTTTTAAGGGCGCTTCTTCTCGGGGAACACCCGGCTTCCAACAACTTTCTGGAGCACATAAGACAGTACAACAGCGCACTGGCATTTGCCTCTATTGTGGCAAAACTGGACAAGCCACCAGGACGCGGACCCTGTCCATACAATATCAGGCCAGCTGTACCGTTTTCTTGGACCAGCAAAAGCGGAAACTGACAAAAAACCGTCATACGGGCAGCTATATTTCCTTGATAGCGCGGATGCTGCTGAGGTTCGAGTAACTAATCAACAGAACAAAGACCTGGATTTCAAGAAACTTGATGAACTGGAAGCGGTTATAAGAGCCGTCAACCCTTTTGCTGCAGCTTATCGAATGATGAATGAAGTGGAGAAAGAGGAGCAAAAGAAAGCTCTGCAAGATAACCGCCCACCTCTGGAAGTGAAACTCATTTTCGACAACAACCGGCGAAAACCAAGCCGTAAATACGCAGCACCGACGAGTAACGAGGTTGCGGCCATTATAGTCGGTGGGAGTGAAGGAGGCTTTCCGGTACATTGTTTGGCAGTCTACTGTAAATCAACTGGCCTGAAAACGATTCCCACTTTGAATGGTGACTGTGAACCAATGTGTTACCCGTTATTCTTCCCGCTTGGGACTAAGGGCTTTCACCCAGAAATGGAGCGGACACGAGGACGCAGCGAAATATCCCAGTTGGAGGTAGGTGTAGTCAAGCTACTGAATGCCGAGAACTGAGCAGCCACTAGGCTTTTCCGAAAGTTAAGAAAATCCACTTATCTTTGCGAAAACGTTAATCCAATAAACCGCTGTAAAGCCATAAGCTTACTGTAGCGGTTGGTCCAACAAAGCTCCTGCCTTCCGCAAAACCATTTAGTTTTGCACCCAACCGTTGCCAAAGGATTCTTACTACTACTGTTTTTGCAGTTCTATAGCTACCGAATTGCTGACCGTGGGAATTTTAACCCAATACTATGCGGCAAAAAAGTTGTTCCAACAGTACCTGGTCGATTCGTACGTTAAAGTGGAAGGATCTCGCCTGCAGTTTCAGAGACTGCAACAAAAGAAATTGCGAGTGGAAACGTACCAAGGACTGCCTGACTATTTAGACTCGGCGGCATCGGCGCGCGAAGCTGAGCCAGGACGCACCGTTGTACTGAGCTCCAGCTTTGCTGCAGGGCCACGAGCAATACGTCAGAATTACCAGGATGCTATGTCTCTTTGTCGGAAGTTTGGAAAACCGTTTCTTTTTTTGACAATGACGTGTAACCCCAGGTGGTCTGAAATTCAAGATAATCTTTACCCGGGACAGCAAGCTACTGACAGACCTGACCTGGTTTCCAAAGTCTTCAAGCTGAAGCTGAAATTTCTGCTAGAAGACATCGAAAAGCGCGAAATCTTTGGCCGAGTTGACGCGTTTTGTATGGTGAGAGTTTGAAACAATACGCTTGAGACTCACAAAGGCAAAATTGGTTTCGTTGCCTCAATATAGTTATTGTTTTGTTTCACCGGATAAAAAATCTTATAAACTTTTTAGACCATTGAATTTCAAAAACGTGCCTTTCTTCACTGCCACCTTCTCCTGATTGTGGATAAAAGAGACGCCCGAGTGGAGACGGACACCATTGACAAAGTTGTCTGCTGCGAGATTCCGGACCCGACAAAGCAACCACGTTTATACGAAGCTATAAAAAAATTCATGATACACGGGCCATGCGGAAAGATAAACCCCAGTTCTGTATGCATGAAAGAGACGGGAGTGTGTCATGCAAAATTCCCAAAAGCTTTTTGCCCGGAGACTAACCCAAACAAGGACGGATACCCCGAATACCGGCGAAGGCATTCAGGCATAACCATCACAGTTGGTAGTCGCACTGTTGACAATCAATGGATTGTGCCATATAATCCGTACCTTCTTCTGAAATACGATTGTCACATCAATGTTGAAATTTGCGCTACGACCAAAAGTTTCAAGTACCTACAAGTTAGTTTCTACAAGTATATTTTTAAAGGCCACGACGTTGCCCTTATCACTATGACCGATTCGAGCGGCAACAAAGTCCTCAACATGGATGAAATTCAAGCGTTCGTTGATTCGCGGTACATCAGCGCCCCGGAAGCGCATTGGCGGCTGAGCAAGTACGAAATGCACGCAAAGTCTCATACTGTAGTCCGTTTGCCGGTGCACAAGCCTAATGAACAAGAGGTGTATTTTGCCGCGGGAGAAGAAGAAACTGCTGTGGAAAGCGCCTCTACCCGTGACACTATGCTCACCGCATGGTTTAAACTCAACCAAAAGGATGCAGATGCCAGGTCAATACTGTACCACGACATACCAATTAAATATCGCTTTGAAATAGGTGCCTGGAAAAAGCGCGTTAACGAGACGGGGGGAAAAGCTATCGGCCGCATGTATGCCGTAAATCCACGGGACTGTGAACGTTTCTACTTGCGCCTTCTTTTGCTCCATGTCGCTGGGCCACTAAGCTTCACAGACCTTCAATCGGTGAATGGCGAGACATTTGCCACAATTAAGGATTCAGCGAGAGCACGAGGGTTGCTGGAGAACAGCGACCACTGGATTCAGTGTATGGAAGAAGCTTCTGGGACTGCTATGCCCGCTGCTATGCGATGCCTGTTTGTGACAATCCTGATCTGTGGGAACCTTCCACCATCGGATGCCCGTAATTTATGGCAGACATACAACCAGGCTATGAGCGAAGACTTCAGGCGTAACCGCACGCCGGACGCAGCCATATTTTTTGCGTACACCGATGTCAACAAACGCCTAGATTCATTTGGCGTCAGCCTTCTTCGTCCGTATCAAATTTCTGAGCCTCCTCGCCCTTCGGAATTTCAAGAAGAAATCATCGACAAGAAAGCGGAGTTAAAGAAAGGCAGCGAAATGTTTGCACCCATGAACGAAGGACAGAAAACAGTTACGAACGCAGTTATGGACGCTGTTCATGAGAGATCTAACGAACGTTGCATCTTTGTTGGCGCTCCTGGTGGAACTGGAAAAACCTTTGTATTTACCGCCATTGCTCATCAGTTAACTGGCGAAGGCATTTCTGTCGTTTGCATGGCTAGCACAGGGATCGCTGGAAATCTACTGCCGCGTGGGACTACTGTGCACACTGGAACAGGGCTGCCGCTCAAATTAGATAGCAATTCCCGCCTCGCCGTATCAAGTCGTAACCATTTGGGGATCAAGCTGCGCAATGCTAAAGTTTTTTTATGGGATGAAGCGCCGATGTCATCTGCTATGGCTCTGGAGACGATTGACGTCAGCCTTCGTGAACTAATGCAAAACAATCTGCCTTTTGGTGAAAAAGTTATGGTTCTTGGTGGCGATTATAGACAGGTTTTGCCAGTAATTGAACGTGGAAATAAAGCCCAGCAGCTGGCTGCTTCTCTCAAACGGTCCCAGTTATGGCGGTTCTTTAAAACTTATAAGCTGCATCAGAATTTGCGCGCGGAAAATGGCCAAGAGGAATTCTGTCACTGGCTGTTGGGTCTTGGTGAAGGAAAGCTCCCCGTGGACGAAAACGATGAAATCGAAGTTCCCGAATGCTGCATCAGTTCAGGTACCTCAAAGCAGTTACCTCGCTTTTGGTTTTTATTTTGATATTACAACCTTGTAAAAAAATTGATAATACGCCACCTCATCTAAATCTTAGTAGTTTACTAAGCTCTGCAAACTTTATAAAGTTTGTATCACTGTCTAACAGGGGATGAACGGCTAGTTCACCCCTGTGCGCGAACAGAAACGGAAACTGAACGCCAACACACTGCACACTTTATCTCTCTCCCATACATCATATCAAAGGCCACCGCAGCACCTTGCTGCGGGGCAAAAATGAAAAAGCATCCAGCTCAGACGACGAAATCTAGCAACTGAAGAATCTACCAGATTTAGAATCTGGTAGATGGAGAAAAACACGGCAAAAACAGCAAAACAACCTAGCAGCCGCCTGTGCGCGGGTGAACGGAGAGGCCACTCCTCCTCACAACTGCTTCAGTTAAGTGCCTTACTGTGCTTTGGCAAACCTTGAAAATGAGAATTGATTTACAGGAAACATTATCCAAGAGGTTTTTGGGGATATTATTCCAGTAGACAACACGGAAAAGCTATTGGGCAGTGTCATACTTTGCCCAACCAATGATGAAACGCTGGAAATTATTGACGAGATAGTCGAAAAGATTGAGGGAGCTGCAGCTACGTATGAAAGCATTGACAGTATAACTTGCGAAGAGGGCGAGGATCCGACAGAGTTTCCTGAAGAATTCCTTTACACGCTAACGCCGAACGGACTGCCCCCACAAACTTAGCCTGAAGGTGGGAACTGTGGGGATGTTTCTTCGAAATCTAGACACGAAACATGGACTGTACAATGGGTCAAGATTAATAATTCGGCGTCTTTTGCATCATACGCTTGACTGTGAAGTGCTTACAGGAACCAGCAAAGGCAAGCGCTTCCTGATACCCAGAATAAAATTGCAGGCAACAGGCGACTTTTTGCCCTTTCGTTTTGATCGGCTTCTGTTTCCCGTCCGCGTGGCTTTTGCAATGACAATTATTAAATCACAAGGGCAAACATTTAGTAATGTCGGTATTGTTTTGAAATCTCCTGTCTTTTGTCACGGTCAGTTGTATGTTGCGTTTTCACGGGCACGAAAGTTTTCTGCGATTAAGGTGCTGCTTCCGGCTGGGAAGAAGCAAACCAAAAACGTTGTTTATCAGGAGGTTTCATAATGATCTTGACCAAATAAAAAATAACTGATAAAACTCGCTGGTACAGTTGGCGTTCCTGCCTATTCAAGGCCCTTTACAATAAGTAGCACATTAAAAACAGTAGTGATCTTTCTTTCGATTCAGCAACAGGAGTTGCTGTCTTTACATTCATTGGATGCCGCGGCGTGTCAGCGCCGCGGGCGTTGCTAGTCTTCCTATATATTAAAGCAGAACCGTTATTCCGGAACGCTCCTGCCTCCAAAACGTTCTGATTGGCCAGAACCAGCATAACCTTTCTGATTGGCCAGAACCCGCCTAGCGGGTTTTAAGCTTTTCCAGCCCCTTAAACCTGTGCTTTTGCGCGTTTGTCCTTACCAAGTTTCCGAAACTTAGTACCTTCACCTGTGAAAACCTTCGCCTAAGAAACCGGATCCCAGCTTCAGCATTGCTCCTTGCTAAGCTTCCAAAAATTAGTTATTTAACAAACCTGACAACTTTAATTAACTTACCGGTACCGTATTATAAGCCTTTAATTACCTTGCGGTACCACCTTTTAAGCATTTAGTAACCGAAAGTCCCGCGTACGGTACCTGCACTTTTAAGCCTTCGGTCACCGAAGGCGACGCGTGCGGTACCCGCCTTTTTGAGCCCTTGATCACCGAAGACCACGCGCGTGGTACCCGCCATTTTGAGCCTTTGGTCACCGAAGGCCCCGCGTGCGGTACTCGCCTTTTTGAGCTCTTGGTCACCGAGGGTCTTGTGCGGTACCCGCCCTTTGAGCTTTTGAACACCAAAGGCCCCGCGTGCGGTAACCGCTTTTTTAGCTTTTGGTCATGGAAAGCCAGGCGTGCGGTACTCGCCTTTTTGAGCCTTTGATCACCGAAGGCCACGCGTGTGGTACGTTGGCCACCGAAGGCCTTTTAAGCCTATGGTCACCGAACGCCTTTTAAGCCTTTGGTCACAAACGGTTTTTCTAAGCCTTTACCCACTGAAGGCCTTTTAGGCCTTTGGTCACCAAAGGCCGCGCGTGCGGTACCCGCCTTTCTGAGCTTTTGGTCACCGAAGGCCTCGCGTGCGGTACCCGCCATTTTGAGCCTTTGGTCACCGAAGGCCCCGCGTGCGGTACTCGCCTTTTTGAGCTCTTGGTCACCGAGGGCCCCACGTGCGGTACCCGCCCTTTTGAGCTTTTGAACACCAAAGGCCCCGCGTGCGGTAACCGCTTTTTTAGCTTTTGGTCATGGAAAGCCAGGCGTGCGGTACTCGCCTTTTTGAGCCTTTGATCACCGAAGGCGACGCGTGTGGTACGTTGGCCACCGAAGGCCTTTTAAGCCTATGGTCACCGAACGCCTTTTAAGCCTTTGGTCACAAACGGTTTTTCTAAGCCTTTACCCACTGAAGGCCTTTTAGGCCTTTGGTCACCAAAGGCCGCGCGTGCGGTACCCGCCTTTCTGAGCTTTTGGTCACCGAAGGCCTCGCGTGCGGTTCCCCGCGTGCCCCCCCTTTTTTTAGCTTTTGGTCACCGAGAGCCAGGCGTGTAGTACCCGCCTTTTTGAGCCTGATCACCGAAAGCCACGCGCCTGGTACCCGCTTTTTTGAGCCTTTGGTCACCGAAGGCCACGCGCGTGGCACCCGCCTTTCTGAGCTTTTGGTCACCGAAGGCCCCGCGTGCGGTTTCCCCGCGTGCCCCCCTTTTTTGAGCCTTTGGTCACCGAGAGCCAGGCGTATGGCACCCGCCTTTTTTGGCTTTTGGTCACCGAAAGCCAGGCGTGTAGTACCCGCCTTTTTGAGCCTGATCACCGAAAGCCACGCGCCCAATACCCGCTTTTTTGAGCCGTTGGTCACCGAAGGCCACGCGCGTGGCACCCGCCTTTTTGAGCCTTTGGTCACCGAAGGCCACGCGTGTGGTACGTTGGCCACCGAAGGCCTTTTAAGCCTATGGTCACCAAACGCCTTTTAAGCCTTTGGTCACCGACGGTTTTTTAAGCCTTTGCCCATTGAAGGCGTGTTAGGCTTTTGGTCACCAAAGACCTTTTAAGCCTTTGGTCACTGAAGGCCTTTTAAGCAATTGGTCACTGATGGCCTCTAGACCCACACTTTTAAGCCGTTTGCAACCGTGGGCCGCGTCAGCGCGGCGCGTAAGCGCCGCGCGTCCTGCTTGTCCTATATATTAAAGCAGAGCCGTTATTCCGGAACGCTCCTGCCTTCAAAACGTTCTGATTGGCCAGAACCAGCCTAACCTTTCTGATTGGCCAGAACCCGCCTAGCGGGTTTTAAGCTTTTGCAGCCACTTAAACCTGTGCTTTTGCGCGTTTGTCCTTACCAAGTTTCCGAAACTTAGGGCTACCGATCACTTCGGCCGTTTTCATTTCGGCCAAGCTTTTTCGGCCACCATTCATTTCGGCCGACGCTTATTTTGGTCTAATTTATGCAAGGAAACGTTTTTCTGGATGTAACTACGTTTCGATACCGTAATCTTTCGAATAACCTAACCATAACCAAAGAAAACCTAAGAAAACTAAATAAACCATTAGAAAAGTTAGAAAACCTAAGAATAACTAACCTAAGAATAACTTGAAAACTACCTGAGAAAGTTAAATAAACCATAAGAAACCATAAGAAAGCCAATCAACCAAAGATAACCTAAGAAAACCTATGCAACATAACAAAAGCTAGGAAAACTTGGGAAATAAGATGGCCAAACATCCTGTTGCCAAAATGAGCGGTGGCCGAAATGAGTGCTGGCCGAAGTGAGCGGTGGCCGAAATGAGTGCTGGCCGAAGTGAGCCTCGGCCGAAATGAACGTTGGCCGAAGTGAACCAGTGCGGCCGAAATGTAACGCGGCCGAAGTGAACCTCCACCTGTGAAAACCTTCGCCTGATAAACCGGATCCCAGCTTCAGCATTGCTCTTTACTAAGCTTCCAAACATTAGTTCTTTAAGAAACCTGATTAACTTACCGGTACCGTCTTTTAAGCCTTTAGTAACCGAAGTCCCGCGTGCGGCACCTGCCCTTTTAAGCCTTTGGTCATTGAAGACGACGCGTGCGGTACCCGCCTTTTTGAGCCTTTGATCACCGAAGACCACGCGCGTGGTAACCGCCTTTTTGAGCTTTTGGTCACCGAGGGCCCCGCGTGCGGTACCCGCCCTTTTGAGCCTTTGGACACTGAAGGCCTCGCGTGCGGTACCCGCTTTTTTTTAGCTTTTGGTCACCGAAAGGCTACGCGTGCGGTACCCGCTTTTTTTTGGCTTTTGGTCACCGAAGGCCACGCGTGTGGTACGTTGGCCACCGAAGGCCTTTTAAGCCTATGGTCACCGAACGCCTTTTAAGCCTTTGGTCACCGACGGTTTTTCTAAGCCTTTGCCCACTGAAGACCTTTTAGGCCTTTGATCACCAAAGGCCGCGCGAGCGGTACCCGCGTTTTTGAGCTTTTGGCCACCGAAGGCTACGCGTGCGGTCTCCGCTTTTCTGAGCTGTTGGTCACCGAGGGCCCCGCGTGCGGTATCCGCTTTTTTGAGCCTTTGGTCACCGAAAGCCAGGCGTGTGGTACCCGCTTTTTTGAGTCTTTGGTCACCGAAGGCCACGCGGGTGGTACGTTGGTCACCGAAGGCCTTTTAAGCCTTTGGTCACTGAAGGCCTTTTAAGCCTTTGGTCACTGATGGCCTTTAGACCCACACTTTTAAGCCGTTTGTAACCGTGGGCAGCGTCAGCGCGGCGCGTAAGCGCCGCGCGTCCTGCTTGTAACTATTAAGACAGAGCTGTCTGTCCGTAACGCTCCCGCCTCCAAATCGCTCTCACTGGTCAGAGCCAAAACACTTACCAAATGAAGTGAACCTACTGAACAAACTCACAAACTATAGTGAACCTGCTGACCACACTTACTAAACAAAACGAACCTGCTGAACCCAACCTAATCCCCAGTGAACCAGCTGAACCCACGCTAAAACTAAGTGAACCGACTGAACCCAACCAAAGCCTGATTGAACCATCTGAACCCAATCGAAAAGTTAGCGAACCGACTGAACCCAACCAAAATTTTACTGAACCAAACGAACCCAACCAAATCTTCAGTGAGCCGACTAAACCCAACCAAACCCTTATTGAACCAACTGAAACCAACCGAATCTTTAGTGAACCGGCTGAACCGAACCTAAACGTCAATGAACCAACTGAACCCGACCGAAAAGTTAGCGAACCGACTGAACCCAACCAAAACCTTACTGAACCAGTCAAACCCAACCTAATCTTCAGTGAACCAACTGAACCCAACCAAATCTTTATTGAACCAACTGAACCCAACCGAATCTTTAGTGAACTAGCTGAACCCAACCAAACGTCAACGAACCAAATGAACCAAACCAAAAACATTAGTGAACCGACTAAACTCAACATAAAAATTATTGAACCAAAAAAACCAAACCTTATCCTTAGCAATGCGACTGAACTTGACCTAAACATTGTTGAACCAAATAAACCTAACCCAACCCAATCCGCTTAACAACGTAACGTAACCACGCTAGAGTACGCGCAGTGACGCTACCACTCGCTCGCAAGCAGCGGAATGTAAGCACACGAGAGAAAGTTGTGTGAACCTATTGCA